AACAAAATATCGATTTCTGCTGTCCCTGTATCGATACATTATTAGCAAACAAAATATCACGATACTACACAGTATTGATTTTTTCCCCCACCCCTACTGTTTAATAAGTAGCTGGCAAGTGTTTGCAGTGTCATTTACTTGAACTAGCAGAAGTGTCCACATTCCTAATAAGGCATAACTTTAAATCGTAAAGCTCTTTGTGTAACCGCTTAGTTCATATCATCCTTTATCAAGCTGGATGCAGCTCAAGAGTTAAGTAAGTGCCAAAGTAAAATCAGTACTTCATTGTTCTTCATTTGTGTCCACTGACAGTAACTAATTGTCTGAATGTGCGATTATGTAGGACTGTTTGCTTATTACAAAGCCAGGCGTTTCTAGTGACACGTTGCCTCGATAAAGTTGTACATTATCTTTGTGATTATAGTACATTGCACTTGTTTGCTTTTAAGCTTATTAGAAAGGCAATTTTGCATTCACATTAGCTTGTAATTGTTATTCATAGTAGGCTGTTGCCCTCAGCTGCTCTCTAAATTGAGTTCTGTTGTTTGTTTGGGGTTTTTTTGTTTCTTTTTTTCCTTCTGTTAGGTTTATTCAGCAGATATCCAGAGGAGGACTATGAGTCATTCCCTCTGCCAGAGTCTGTTCCTCTCTTCTGCCTTCCCATGGGGGCCACAATTGAGTGCTGGCCAGCTAACACCAAATACTCCCTCCCTGTTTTTTCCACCTTTGTCCTCACCGGAGCCTCTGGAGAGAAGGTGAGATGAATGAATGGATATTTGGCCACACTACTTTATTTCTCACTCATCCAGGTGACTTACAAGCTTCTCTGGCAACAGCATTGGATCTGAGAGCCTCCCACTGACTGTTAGACCTCATCAACAGACTTCAACTGCCATCTGTACAGCTGACACGACCACAGAGTCATACACTGTAGTAGGGCACGAGAAAACCACATTGTGCTGCATGCCAGAAGTAAAAATAGGTCAGGCATGTTGCCAAAACCTTATAAACTCATATGTAGTGCTTTGTATTTTAAGGCAGCAACTTTGAATTAAAACACAACAATAAAACAGCCTCCCCACCCCACCCCCCCACCCCCCAAAAAGAATCTACCAGCTCACTAGAAGAGTAAATGCCTGAACACTACTGTAAGGACAAGGTTGTTCCTTTTGTAGTCTTTTTATGGAGCTATTTCTTTTGCTTCTCAGAGCACAACAATGCAGACTCTGTTTCTGTTAATGAATCACTCTCTCACACATATGCACATCAAACCAGTAACCCGATATATTTAGTATCCCAGTCATGCATTTTCCCATCATAAATCATATCACACTTTAAAAGAGGCATTATTACCTTCAATTCCAGTTATATAAAGGCTAAAATATAGTGTTGTGCGGTTTAAACATTGTTCACGCGGGTAATATAAACTTACTTTGATCCATCAATACGTACAGTTTGATATGTTGAGGAATTAGTAAAATATCCAAATACTTAGCACACTTCAAAAAGAGGGACAGTTTTAATTTTCCAAGATAGACCTTAGTAATCAAGAAATCAATAGACTCGTGTGATGATCACAGTTAAAGGCCTGGGTTGACTGGAGGGGCTTTTCAGATTTCAAAATGGGCTGCAGCAGTCTTATATTGGAGAGTATTCCCCATAGATAAGGTTGAAAGTGCTAAGACATAGAGACAGACAGCCAAGTTACAGTCACCAGTTATCCTAAAACGTGCATGTTTTTGGACTGTGGAGTCCAAAGGAAACTCATTTTTCTCAACAAGCCATCTTTTTATGGTTGCCCAACTTTGCTTTTTTCTATCTTGAATTCTTTATTAAAGAAGAAAGGGTAAATTTATGCAAACAAACCCGGCAGAGGTTCACTGACACATCAGCAGAGGAGCACAATTCCAGTTTCAAACAGGCACACAGGCACATCCTTGGTTTCCAAATCTAAACACAAGCTCTGGCCTGCTGTGCTGATCTCTGGGTTTGGAATGGTGTCCAGTTGTGGTTAGTGTCATATTGACACATATTAGTGAATTATGTGGTTAAACAATCATGATTGAAAACAAATAACATCCAAAGCCTTCCACTGTTTAATCGTTTGCTCTGCTGAACAAGGTCAGTTAGAGGTCAGCAGCAGTTGGCAGTGCCAAACCCTTCTCGGTCTGCTGCTGCTGAGTCAAGTTTCTGTGTGTGTGTTTGGAAGGTTGACTCTAAGGGGGATATTTGGTGAGGACAGTGTGTTTGCTGCCTTGTCATTTACTAGCCAAGGTCAGAGGAAGACCCAGCTGGATTCTGGCAGTCTGCAGACTCCATTGATAACTGAGCAATCACGCCTAAGTTAAATATTCTATATTTATTGCCATAACCACAGTCTCTGCTACTTTTTTTGTAACTTTATCGTCAGTTAAAAGGTGTCAAACCTCCAGTTTTATTTCTAGTTGGCTTTCTGTTTCTGGATGAAACCGTAAACTTTGTGGTGGAAGAAGGAAAGTCATTCATAGACATTCATAGAATGAAAACACAGTGCTTTTTAACAAAAAGGCTTCATTTTTGACCACAGTGTGTACATAGAAGCAAACACACCCACTCATTGGCAAACAAAGGCCTGAGTTCCTTTCAGAGGAAAATGTGAAAAACGGATCCAAACAGGCAACACAGCAGATAAGCCCGTTAGCTTTGATCTGTGGGAAGGTCTCATATTTCCAGGAAGCAGAGGAGATTTATAAAGCTCAGCTAACTGCTGTTTGTTTGAACCACTGTTGGCATTTCAATGATCAGTAGAAGTTAAACAGCTACACACAGATGGATGGAAAGTTTCTGGACAGCAAGGACATTTTAGATTGTCGTTGCGCCCTGAAAAGGCTGTAGAATCTGGTGGGCAGGAGCCAGCATTCATTCATTTTGGTACTGGATGTCCTAAAAAGAAATAAATTGCAGAAAATCCATTACAGTTTGCATTATGCTAAGAAACCTCGAGGCAAAGCACTGCAATAGGTCTTTACCGCTGCTTAACTCAATTCCCATGCTGTATGTTTCATCAGTGACCTGTGCGGTGTTGCCTCAGTCAACTCACAGGATGCACAAGATGTGGGCTAATTTAACTGTTGATATTACTGTTCAAGTGGTTTTTTTTTATTATTATTATGTTAGGAAAATTTTTAATGTAAGAACATTTTAATTTCACTATCTCCCATGCTAAGCTGGTATGCCAGTGTGCTGAGAATCAACTTTTTCAGGTTTTGCCAGTATGTCTGCGTGTGTGAGTGAGAGAGGAGATACTAAAGAAAATGATTGGCTTATCAAAACTAATTGGCTGATTAGCATAAAGTGGTTGGGAACTATTTTGATAGGTTGATGGGTTTTAGTTGATTTTCATTTGCAACATTTGCAATGAGCACTGACTGAATTGTGTAAATTAAATCTTTGAGTTTAGGCGGTCAGATAGATAAAGCAAGTAATTTTAAGATGTGAAGTTGGGCATGTAAAATTGCAAATGGCATGATTTTTTTTCTTTTAGTTTATTAACCAGTCACAGAAACACTGGCAGATCAATTATTATTTACAAAAATCTTTTTTTGCATCCTTTTCAAAAGCAAATCTAAACCAAGAAAAGTGTCTGACTGTGGCATTATCACATCACAGAGGTATATAAGTATTTAGACTGTTTCTGGTTTCCTGTGTTTTTATTTCTCCTCTACCAGGTTTACGGTGCTGCCATTCAGTTCTATGAGCCCTACCCACAGGAGTGCCTGACCGATCAGCAGCTCTCCCAGCTGGGTCTCCTGATCCCCGACCCTCACAAACCCTCTCCCTCCAGCTGTATGGCCGCTGGCACCAGCAGCACCGCAAACGGCAGCCCACGCTCAGTCTACACCAACAAGTGTATCTGCCTGCTCTCTCACTGGCCCTTCTTCGATGCTTTCCGCAAGTTCCTCACATTCCTCTATCGCTACTCCATCTCAGGCCCTCATGCCCTGCCCATTGAGAAGTGGGTACTCTGTGTTTTCTCTCTTCATTTAAAAATTGTATGCTCTGGTTGCTGAACATGTTATTATTTAGTGTTCTAGCGACTACAATGATTGGGTTGTGGAAATATAACTCTTTTCTTTGGCAGTTTGCTACATGGTGTCACGCTGAGATATGTCATTAGTTTAGTTTTAATTGTGTCTGAACCTGGACCTGTTTTTCCTGATGTTAGAGTTGAAAAAGAGAAAATATTTTTTTTTCTCACATGGAGGAAGAAAAAAGGGAACAGAAATTGTGTTTTGGTCAGATACATACTTGTAATTCTGCTGGTAAGGTAATGTGTAACAGAAGAGTCATGCTTTGTGTATTTCACTCCTGCTCATTACTGGTTGAACAGATGGATTATTCTGCTGCCTACTGCTGGCATATTTGGCCTTATGTTCCACTCATTTTTCTTCATTCCAGGCACATCTCCCACTTCATGCACAAAGTTCCCTTCCCTTCTTCTCAGAGGCCTCGCATCCTTGTGCAGGTATGTTTTAACTGCAAGAGCAAAATGGTTCTTTGTGATGCTTATTGCATTTAATGCAGGCTCGAATGTTTAACCTGCATCTTGCTGAAGAATGAGTTGATTTCTGAAGGTGTTAGTTCACCCGCAGGGGTGCACCGCTTTTGGTCCTTCATTATGGATGAACATTTAAATGATTCAGTGCAGACTTTTTTTGCGTGGTTGGTTTTATCTCATTTTCCAGCTTTTCTTTAGCTTTCCCCTCATGACAGCCTGATGCTGAGCCAGCCGGTCTCTTCTCCATTACCGCTCAGGTAAGAGCAGCTGTGCTCAAAGTTTCTTAGTGCTAAATGTTAGTTTTGGTGTCAGATCTAAAGAAATATGTGTAAAACGTCAGTTAGAAAACATATCAAATTGTTGAACTGACAAAATGTACAGTTTGTCAGAAAAAAATTGCACCAGCATGTCCCACAAAATTTGCAACAGGGTCATATTTACTGCTGTGTAGCATCCCATTTTTGTCTGATACAGGATTTTTGTTTCCAGCTTTTTTTAAATGGTGAAAGGTCTGGACTGCATGTAAGTTATGCTGATGTAATAGATGCAGTAGCACCGTCTTGCTAAAATATTCAAGGGCTTCCCTGAAAAAGCTGCCACCTGTAAATACCTCTCAGCATTGATGGCAACTTTCCACATGTGCAAGTGTCAGTTCTAGAGGTACTAATGCAACTCTATATCATCAGAGATGCAGGCTTTCAAACTGAACACACTGATATAATCTGACCCCAGAACAGTTTTACATTTTGCCTCATTACATTTTAAATGAGCTTTGGTCCAGAGAAGAAAGCTGTGTTCCTGGATCATCTTCACATAGGGCTTCTTCTTCACATGATAGAGCTTTAACCTGTATTTGTGGATGGCACAATGACTTCTGGAAGTGTTCTTGAGTCCATGCAGTGATTTCCATGACAGAAACATGTCATGCCCTGTTATGCCCACAGTGGTGCCTGAGTTCCTCTTGTTTTCATACAGTCGTGTTCCTGGCCTGTTGCCAGTGACACTCATTAGGTGCAAAATGTTCTCACAGCTGTTTTTTTAAGGACCACTTAAATTTCCAGCCTTTTATTGTCTGTGTCTCAAAGTTTTAGAGGCATGTTGGTCCCATCAAATTAAATAAAACTGCATGAAAAATTAAATCTTTGCTTCTTAAATGTTTCAGTTTAAACTGAGATTGTAAAATTCTGAGACCACACAAATATTTATAGAAAAATGTGGGTTCGTAGCCAATGCTCTTACTTTCTTTTGGGTAGGGTTTGTTAGTTTGTACCTGTTTTTGTCTATTCATGCAGATTCTCCTTTGCCCCTGAATCCCCACCAGCTCCAAACGAAAATATGTTTCCAATCTAAAGTTTTTGTTAAATTAGGCGCGACTTCACTTTATTTCTACAAATCATTGTGATTGTTGCCAGACAGCTCTGTGTGACCTTCATCTGTCCACTGCACTTGTTTTCAAAATGACTTTGGCTGATCCAGATGTTACTTTGCAGACTTTAGACATTTGTAATGAGGTTGCAGGTACTGTTCCTTTTGAACACTCTTCATATTTGGACTGCAAGACTGTATTTGTGTATCAAAGCGTCACAGTTGCATGTGACTGTGACAGTCACATGCAACCACCATTGCAGTGATATGGGTGTTTTTGTTTATCTGATGAGCAGAAATGCCATATCTGAATTTTTTTTCTGTTCTTCCAGATCATGTTTTGACTTTCATGGTTCTACTTAAATGGTCATTTTAATATTTTGAACATTAGAAGCACTTCAACATCTTTAATGGCCTTCCCTGTTCTAGTTGAAGGTGTACTATTGGTATCAGTTACCTTAATTTTCCATGGCTGAGTATTACTTTAACGTTTGAACATTTTTATTGCAGTTGTATTTACCTTAGGTTACTTAAAAATCAACATTTGAAGTTTGTCCAGGTACCACATTTTTTTCCAAGAATTGTTGTTACAACAAAGAAATAATCCACCAAATCCAAATTACCTTACTTTCTGTGCCAAGTTTATATAATCAGGTCTAAACTCGCCTTATATTATAAATATTAGAGTTGTTTGAGAAACCTAAAGCCTTTCTTTCAAAGAATATATACAATAGATTTTAAAAGAAACAATTTAAAAGAAAATCATTTATATATTTATTTATTTAGTGGTGGTCGATTTTCCACACTGCTCCACAACCTTGGGCCAGAGAACGCTGTCACCTTGCTGGTGTTTGCTGTCACTGAACATAAGATCCTGATCCATTCACTACGACCGGCCGTACTGACCAGTGTTACTGAGGCTCTCGTGTCTGTAAGTAACTCCATTCAGCTGTCATAGAGTGCTCTATCTGCTCTTAGTTTCACTGCCTTCTTGTTTTATACTTAATTTAAATGAATGGCAGCATTTACAATTGCAAGAAAATATTTGTGAACCCCTGTCTATATATCTCTATAAATACAATAAAACATTGTTGTGGGTAAAAAAGAAAACCTTCAAATCCAGTCATTCAAATCCAATTTGAAGTAAAGGGTTGCAAGGAGAACACAACTTCTCTTTAGAACATGGACAAGTCAGGACAAGCCAGCAAGCTGTTGAACCAGTGTTTTTGTGGATGGAGAATAGATTGTTTTTATTTCAAATGAGAAGCATTATGTTTGGAGAAAGGAATAATCAGCATTCCTGGATGGGAGCCTTTTTCCATCTGTGAAACATTGTGGTGGTGTCATAGAAATACTTGTCATCACTGATGGAAAAAATTAAGAAAAAATTAAGAATTATACCAGCACACAAATGAAATTTTCAGGACATCTGTGGGTAATGAGGAGAGCCAATGATCTAAAGCATACAAGTACCAAAGAACAGTTAAACATAATGCTTTAGAGTGATGAAGCCAAAGTCTGGACCTTAATCCAAACGAAATGTGGAATGTCCTGTATCCACCGTAATTCTGTTGTTACACCTGGACGAGGAGGTCAAAGGAGATAGAGAAGGGAGGGGATGGGGGGTCACAAACATTTTCTTAACACTGCAGATGGTGTTCACATTTTGTTTTAATCCTATACATGGCTCAGCTATACTGTGAATCTGACCACGTGCACTATAGCTCAGCCCTGTGTTAACTGGAAATTCACTGAAGGAGGTTTGTCTGATTTTTCTGCTCTTGTGCTCTTTTTCACCCTCAGATGATTTTTCCGTTCCACTGGCCCTGCCCGTATATTCCTCTGTGCCCCCTGGCGTTGGCTGATGTGTTGAGTGCCCCCTGTCCGTTCATTGTAGGCGTGGACTCTCGCTACTTTGATCTTTATGATCCCCCTCCGGATGTCAGTTGCGTGGACCTGGACACAAACACCATCTTCCAGTAAGCACAATCCTTAAAACCTTCCCACAGCTGTAGGTATTTAGGTAAGAAAGTGAATTTTGCTGAGCTTAATCTTCACCGTGTTCATTGTTCTATACAGCGATCCATACAGCACCTTCTAAGCTATAAACTCAACATCCTTTGGTCCCTCTATTTTTCAGACAGCATAGCTGCTGGCTCATGAGTTCTAACTTTAGACATCAGGCCAGAGATTGGGTGAAAATGGTTATTTTTGTAGTGTCAGACTTGTTTTAATATGACGAGAATGCAATTTTCTAGCGTGCCAGGTAAGGTCAGTAATGGTTCGCATCATTTTTAGCCTTATTACCAGCCAGACAACGTTGGGGTGGTCTGAAATCCCTCTTGGCCTAACCACTGCTCATGTTGATGTTGGCCTCAGTGTATGTTTCTGCTTTTCTAGCCATGAAGATAAGCGAGCCCTCACATGGAAGATTCTGCCAAAGAAAGCTTGTAAAAACCTAATGAATGTGCTGAATAATCTCTACCAGCAGCTTGTTGATGGTGAGTGCTGAAGCGGTGGGGCAAATTATTGTAAAACTGCATCCAGTGTTGGCGTTTATTTAGTTCATTTCTGGATGTATTTATGGTAAAGATCACTTTCAATGATAATTAGGGTCTAACTAAGGTCTCCACATTGCACGCTCTTCTATTTTTATCATCTGTAGTCACTGATTGTGTTGCCTTTACAATTTGCTCTCCATTCACTTTCCTTTGTCCAGCTCTCCATTCAAATCTGAAAGCCAGCAATAATCCTATCAAAGCATAATCTCCTAATTATCCGTCTGCTCTGGTGTGGGGCTCACTGTATTGTTATCAACTTTTTGCGCGTTTGAGGAAGCATACCCACTGAGTGAACATGAAACCTGCTGCTTCTTGAGCTGTAGGAATCTGAATAATTTAATTTTCTAATTCAGTGAAGTTGAAAATCTAGCCAGTAACTGCCACAAGTGCTGAATATTGATATGCATGCCAGAGGTTGTAGTTGAGACATTTAACCCTGTTGGAAGTCTCTAAATAAGGATATCAACTAAGGATTAAAAAAATGTAATTATGTAATACTAATCCTCATTCACAGTAGGATTACTTACTGGAATACTGCAGCTGTGCACAAACATTTCAACACATGCACTTAGATCAGAACCACTTCATCAAAATGCAAATGATGCAGCTGGCTCAGCTGAAAGTAGTGATTTACCCTTTATGTTGACATTAGCCTAAAGATCCTGATATGTGCTGTCAGCTGCTAAAATGCATTTTCCTCCTGCTTCAGGTCAGTACCGACCAGATGGGCTGCTGGAGCTGAGCATGAGCGATTCGTCAGAGTTGAGCTGTGGGAAGAGTCTCCACACACTGGAGCTAGAGATCCAGGAAGCCTTTCTGCGCTTCATGGCAGCAATTCTGAAGGGCTACCGCTCCTTCTTGCGCCCCATCACTCAAGCGCCTTCAGAGAAAGCCACAGACGCTAGCTCACTCTTTGACTTGCAAGGTATTAGGAATAATGTCAGTGTCCACATGTAGCTTGAACTCTCGACAGCTCTCCATGTGCAGAGGAAACAGACTGAATGAATTAGCTGGTGTCCTCACCCCACTGGCCTCTTCATATTCCTCACACAGAAACATGAAAAGTCTCAGAGGTACAGAACTGGGCAAAACAGAGTTTCTTTAATTCTAATCAGCTTTCCAATTTTCCATAGCAACAAAAATGTAACAAAAATATATCAGAAATATAAATGGAACAAATTGGGACACTATTCAAGAATCTTACAAATAAAGAGGTATAGACTGGATTAAATAACAGTCTTCAAGCCTTTGCTTGTAATTGTGCCATTTAGTCCAGTGTTGTGGAAAAAGATGTCCTTCGAGTCGTAGAAAGAAAGTTAGTCTCTCGATCAAGTGTATTTCTTCTATAATCTCTAGCACTTGCTCTGCTAATCCAATTCCTTGTTATGGCCTTTCTAGTTTCTGTCCTTTTTTGGTATCAAATCTCTGGGTAGCAGACCCAGTAGGAAGGTCTTGGGTTCCTTAGGGGTGGCATAAGCCATGATGTCATCCATTAACTTAAATATACTGTCCCATAATGGTGTCCATTGTGTACATGTCCAGAAGATATGAGAGTGATTGGTCTTTAAGTGACCACACTGTCTCCAATATTGTTGCTGATGCCGCTGAAATTTGTTAGTAATATGTGGAGTAATAAAGAATCTAATTAGACTTTTCCACCCAGATTCCCTAATTGGAACTAGTAGAAGTTTGTTGCGTGAGAGCCAATCACTCTGACAATAGTGCACTAACCACATTTTACAGAAGGATTTATACACTTGCTGTCTTACCTGTCTCCTGACCGCTGATGTCCATAATGTTGACGATTTGAAACAGAAGCCAGCCTGAGCTCTTGGAGAAAATAATGCTGATACTATTATTTTAGTTTCTTTCTGGAAAAAGTAAGAAAATTGTGTGACATATCCTGACAGATTAGCTCTATTAATTTTGTCAGATTTTTTTGGAGGGTGTGGGGAAGAAGATTTATTGTGTATTTCTCAATGCCTTCCCCATTGATTTTATTAGCATGGCTATTGGCTAATCTCAAGGATATTTAATGAGTTAGTGGAGACTTACTGAGTCATTTTAATTTGAGAATCTAGACCAACCAACAAGAGCCTTTGTAGAACTAAGAGCTCTAGGGAACTGACTTGACAATTGACCAACAGAGCTGAGGCTGTTAACATCCAATGTGGTGCGCAGAATCAAAAGTTAACTTTGCTCTACTTTTTCATCATTATCCAGTCCTAGTTGTACAGTCACAATGCATGATTAGTGCTAATGACGTTCTGAATATTTAAGCTAAGACCACATCATCTGTCGCACCTTCTTCTCGACAGCTGGCCTGCCTCAAGCACAGATGGCGTTGTTTAATACATGAGCTTTCGTAAGTGTCCATTTCCACCTCCGAGTAAATACACAGAGAAGCTGTTTGGGCAGGAAGGCTAGGCTTTGAGGAGATGCTCGGGTTGAAGGGTCGAGGCTGCTTGCAAACTGAAGGTTAGTCAGTTAACACTGCAGCTTCTGAGCTCCAGAGGGTTGTCATCCTGCCTGTGGGTCTGAGCCCATGAAAGCTGCTTTGCATCACAGTTGAAGTGAGTTGGGGTGATAAGCCTGCTCCACTGGAGAATAGCTGGAGCCAAGGCTGCGTCCTGTCTGAAATATGTGATACAGCAAACAGGAAAAGCTGCAGTATATTACATAATAACTCAAAGAAATATGTAACAGCTCGTACATCACATTTGAACTCCTGACCACTTTTTACTTAATATCCACAACAATAAAATATTACTAAGTATGTTAATATGATGATATGAATCAACATCTGTGTCTATGACATTTTTACACACACGCTGCAGCTGTGTTCCTTTTTACTCTGATTTTTCAAATTTGCAAAGCAGATGGTAAATTTAAAAAAACAAACTTTTACTTCAGTTCAGGTTATTTTCTAAATAACAGATGAACACATATACAAGCACCACCTGCTAGTCAATCCATTTTCTTTAAAATGGTATCACCAAGCTCAGTGTGCTGATGGCACTCTGTTTTAGAGGTGTTCTAAAATATTCGTCTTTCTCTGATGAGCATTAATGAACTTTAATCCTTGCTCGTTTCCTGCTGCTTTTAGGACATTTCAACCTCCTTTTGTTCTCTACGGGCCTAACGTAATCCTGAACTAGAGAGCACTAAAGCCTTGTAGGCTGCTTGTTGATTTTATTTCAGCGTACTTACTGGTCGGAAGTTTTTCTAGTACAGACAAGGGGCATTTAGACATTTAGTATGTGCCGCTTTATTTCATAGAAATTATTTTATTATTTTGACGATACTACCTATTGTTTTCTTAATCCTTGTTTAATCATCCAGGTTAGGAAATCCCTTCAAAACTGATCAATGGTGAGTGGTTGTTGATCAATGGTCATGACAACTGACCTCACAGCCCACTGTTCACCAGTGGTGCTAGTTTCAGTCATTATGCAAATGTATGTGTATGAAAAAGTCACTCAGGTGAATGATGAAACAAACTGAAAACGCTACGTCCAGATGAAAAGAATAAACTTTTTTGGGTCTACCCTGTTGTTGTTTTGAAGTCATAACTCAGGTCAAAAATAACTGGACTGCATTTTTAAGGTCACTGGAAGAAATGTGAACTAAATAAACATAATTATTTGGCACTCAGATTGTCAGATCCAAAGTGCATTTCGGTGACAGCACAAAGCAAAAAAGCAAAAGTTTGAAATGCATTAAAGATTTTGTTGTTGTTTTTTTAAGTAATCGGTAAGTGGACTAATTTTTAAGGCCAATGTTTTAAAATGTAGTGAAGGACATAGAGAATGGTATCGTGAGGCTACCCTGAAACTAACCTGAACAGGCCCAAATTGCAAGTGGTCATGATTAAAATATTTATCAACTGCAGGAAGTGTTTGGCTTCCACATCCGTGCTGTGAGCCAGAAACCATCCATCCTATTCTGAGTCTCATAACAGCAGTGACTTATTACTCAGTGACTTATTAGAAGCTTTCAGCATCTATTATGGAAGTTTTTCACCACGTTGTTGCACATCCTGTATTGGCCATTACACTAACAACATTGTGGTTTGCATTATCCAAACCAAGACAAATGGATGCAGTATACATACAGCTTGTTTTAGAATAATGGGTTCTTTAACCACACACTCACACACCTTTTGAAGAAGTCTTTAAATTATTCTTGTGACTGCTCACCATTTTTCAGAAGTTAGAGTGAGATCTTCTATAAAGGTAAACCCACTGTAATCTCAAATCATCTTTCAGTTATTACACTGACATGTTAGATCTCGGCAAAATAAGGTTACTACCATGTTTAATAACTCATCTATGTTTCTCCCCTCAGGGTTCTTGAAGAGCCGCGACCGCTCACACCAGAAGTTCTACTCCCTAATGACGAAGACCCAGATGTTCATCCGCTTTATCGAAGAGTGCTCCTTTGTCAGCGACAAAGACGCCAGCCTGGCCTTCTTTGACGACTGTGTGGATAAAGTGAGCTTTTTTATTTTATACAAGAGAATGCTATATCACATGCATACATATTCATTTTGATGCAGTAGAGGGGGGGAAAAAAGCCCTTTTCTTTTCTGGCATTTCTTTTCTCAGTGGACCCCCACTGTGTTCCACTTACAGTAGTGTTAGCAGATTTCCCTCTTCTCTGTGTCACTTCACTTGTCTTCAACCAAACCTTCTTGAGTTTCCCTTTCTCTCTTCCTTTCTGCCTCCACTCGTGAACAGCTTTACAATTCAGAGCGGGGTGCAGATAAAGGAGGCAAGGTAAGTCTATTTTTATTCTCACCTATCCTGAAACATTTTGTTTACAGATAGAGGAATTGTGCATGGTGTATGGTAAGCTTGGGTGGTCTTTACTTTTTCATACTCTTATTACTTCCTGATATTTCAACAGGGTTCATGGTGTGTGATGATGGTGTGTAAAAAAAAAAAACAAAAAAAAAAAAACACCCCTCAAAAAAACAACCAGCAAATGAAAAGAACCCCTAAAAGCTTAGATAGAAGTCATTGTAGCAATGGATTTGAGGAATTAGCAGACAGACAATTAACCTTTGCTGCCTTCACTGTCATCAGAAATAGGATTAAAAAAAAACTGCAGTAGATAACATTTGGCTCTGTAGCTATTCTAAATGGTATTACAGCTTATTGTGCAACATCATGTTCACTTTCCTGTCTTTCCAAAGAAAGAAGGCTGTTGGTGCTAGTACTGCCAACATTAGCCGCACTCTGGATAGTTTTTACTTTTTGACTAGTTGATGGTACAAGTTTTAATTTAAACTGATCAGGAAATTCTAGGGGCATGTCCAAATGGGACGTTTTAGCTTCTTTAGTGAAAAATTTCACAATGTATTGTTAAAGTAGAATATGTTTACTGTTTGGAATTGTATTTTAACAGCTCTCTGCGCTCACTTGAATGATACATCAGTAGCTACTGCTGCACTACAATACATGCTCTCAATACAACAACTCCATACCAGTCTAATTGAGATCCATCAATGTAATGATGGTGCTTAAAATCGTAGCAGCCAGATCTCTAAATACCTCTACATACCCTGTGACTGAAATATGGCCCAAACCTACTACATGATACTCATAATGTAACCAAATTATTTTGAGTCATAATTGGAAACAGCTTTGTCTCAATGCTCTTAGAAAACCCTCCAGCCATACAGATATGATTTAAGCTTTCATGTTATCCCGCCCACGTATTCTTGTGTCATTTAAATTAGTTCCTTATGATCCAAGCTGTAGAGCCTTTTTACACATTCTCTATTTTTAATGAAAATTCTCCCACATCCACATTAAATTTGCTGCCACAGCAATTTGTCCCGAGATAGTGAATGCACCGTATCATGGAAAATCCAAGTGTGCAGTTTTCTGCGAAGATTTCTTCCTTCAATTTTTCATGAGTCTAGTGAGTAAGGGTTTTTAGCGCTTCAGTGATTTCTGAAGCGCTAACAGAGCTTGAAGTTAGTTCTTTGCTCTTCCACTAGGCTCACATTTTTTCGTGTGACAGTGTGAAGACTCGGAGTTGCTCTCAGTCCATCTCCTTTTTTCCATTGGGAGCACTTTGAGTAGGTTGACCTCATGTGCTCATGGGGTGTGTCCCCGTATCAGACCATATTTGTGGTTCAGTTTTGTGTGTTTGCTGTTTTAAAGACTACCAAAACGCTTTGCTTCCTAAGTCGCATCTTTTTGGGTCACTGGTTTTTGCAGGTGACATTTATAACTGACTTTGAAATAGTCTTTGCTGTCCTTGCATTGTGTGTGTGTGTGTGTGTGTGCTCTGGCTGTAATTGAGACAAAATGGAAGTGAATACAGAGGCCAGGATCCACATCCTCCCCTCCCTGTTTTCCCAGACCTGCACTGGAGCCTGTGTTTCCTGATGCAGCCTGTGCGTCACTTCTACGGGCGATTAAATCCCTTAAACTGTCTCTGCACTGTGGCAATGTGGATGACGTTATCTACTCTCTAGGAGACAAAACGCAGTGCATCTCTCAGCCCACACACAGGAGTCCCATACATGAAGATAAGGTTAAAGTCTACACATCCCTGAGGGCAAGATGTTTGCTGTAGCAGCAAAACTAATTAAATCCAAAAGACAAAAACACTAGTAGTAATTATGCAAGAAAGATAATATCAAACAAAGAGTCATGGGATTCTATACAAAAACATGCAGTATTAAGACCTCGGTAACAGTAACTCTTTAAAAGGTATACACATTATTAAAGAAGCACTGCTCATGTAGAGATTGATAAATCAGTTTTTTCTAAATTTCTCATCTATTCATCACATTGAAACATTTGTCCATATGCCCTAATTAGACAGCTCTCCGTGAATTTGAAACTGTTCAGGGTTTTGGTAAAAACTAATGTTACTTTTTGAATGTGGAGTGTGTCTGCAAATACGTGCTCCCAGTAGTTTTTATAATACCCCGATTTCCTGCCACCTGAATGTTTTGTTTTATAGCTGGAAACAGTTCACAGCAGAATTTCAAAATATCCAAAATATGGACGGAAAGAACCTCTTGGGAGCATGGTGCCACATCGAAGTCACAGAGTGTTTATTTAAAGGAAGTTGTTTGACATTTTGGGAAAATACACTTCTTGGCTTTTCACAGAGTTAGTATAATTTGGATGTGAATTGGATAAGTACAAGTTCTGCTTTCTGGGTGGTGATATGTTTGGATAGCTGCTTGGCAGGGAACACTGATGCTCTGACTTGTATTGCTAATCATGGTTAGCCACATGGCTAATGCTAGCAGCATTGCTATTGTACAAAGCAATATAAAATCCTAAAAACCCTCTCCACTGGGTTTGTCGCTATACTCTTACCAAACTCTCTCATCTACATCTTACCTAAGGGGGTTTGTAGAAACCCTTGAAAAACTGACAGCTCCTGCTTTTACTCCTGTGTTTTAAAATGTGCCCATAGAAGCAGCACAGAAAATCATGTTGGCCTCTGATGTTCTTTAATGGACAAAAGAAGAATAATGAAAGCCTTCTTTAGACAGCACTAAGGAAGAGACACTCCCACACTCCACTGCTTTGACTGAGGTTGTTATCAAACTTTAATTACCATCTGAATAACTAGACTAAATTATGAACTTTAAGCAAGTGCTTCACCTCCCTTCTTTCCAGCTTGAAGAAAATCATTGCCTGTAGCGCCAAAGCCTGTCATTAAGCACTTCTCAATTTACGATGCTTCCCTCTGTGACACTGGGTGTTTTAAATCCACCATAAAGCTCAGACCCTCTGATTTAAGATTCACTTTGTCTTATCTGTCTGCCCTACCAGTATGGCTGTAGTAAAATCTTTGCACTAACTCCAAATGTCACTGATGAAAATGATAAATGAGGACCATTATGCTGTTGTTTCATTTGCCCACATAGATTTGTTTCTGGCCTCATTAATAAAAATCAGAACACCTTTTTTTCCCCATCAGTGGGCACCTATAATCTTTTATCATTCGATAAAGAGATACGGTTGTAGATATGGTCTTGGAAACTCAGCCTTACAATAACATAACACCAAATGCTGAGTGTAGTCTCCTTGCTATGTATCTGAGCCAAACAGACTGACAGTGGGACAAACCGTTATGAGAGATTCTATAGAGCCAGTTTATACCTTAAGCTGACTTTGGCATGATATGCTCATCTTTCAATGTGTAAATCAAACTGATCATGGTCCTTGTATATTAATAAATCAGGTGGTCTTCCAAGGCTGAAGTATGCTATGAAAAAATTGTTCAAAGAAAAAGAAGGTAGTATATATGTAGATAGTGAATGCATTAACACAATCCCAAAATAATCAGATTTCATAGAAATGTTTTTTTGTATTCACTTTGAAATGGGGAATAACTTCAGCCAAATCAACTTGCCGCTTGCAACGATGCAGCTGCCTCAAGGCGAACATTAAGAATCGACAAATGACCTGTTTTTTCTGCCTCATCTTTTCTTACTTTAAACCATTTATGTCAGACAAATCCAGACACAGACCACAACAGACGTTGACTCTAAGTTCAGTTAACCCTGTAAGAGTTGTAAATTGAGTTGCAGTGTTACTGAATAGAAAGCTACTGAACTAACTGTTGTTCTAGGTGATGGCTTGCACAGAAAAGTTGTTCCAGTGTCCGTTGATATATATAAAGGAGGAGAGGGTGTTGACTGAGTTTATGTCCTTGTTGCGTGGGATGAGTGATCTTTACTCTGTATTTATTGAGCTTCTGCGCCCACAGCCCTCTGGGTTGTCTGTGCATCCATCTGTCCATTCTATTTTGCAAACACAATATTCAGTCCATATTATAAAGCTGCTACAAAATATGGAATTGATATGGACTGAGTAACGTGTTAGGAATGAAAGGATGCCACATTGTTCGATAGAAATAGAAATGAACAAACTGTAGAGGGTTGAATTTAAGGATACCCCAAAAGTGAAAAATGATTCAGCAGGTTAGTCAATTTTGCTGATACTCAAAAGTATTGGGTATTGGGTCTGACAATGGGTCCAAGGATTTTACCCCAGTACTTAATGGCAGTCAGGTGCCATTGCATAGCCTGTAGAGGTCTGTGATTCCCTCCATGGATATGCCTCCCCAGAGCGTCACTGACCCATCACCTGAACTATGTTACAGACAACATATGTTCTCCACGGCTTCACTAGACCTTTTCACACCTGTCACATGTGCTCAGGCTCTCATCTTTGAAAAGCACAGGGCGCCAGTGGTAGACTTGGCAATTCTGGTATTCTATGACAAATGCCAGTTAGGTCAATGCTGGGCAGTGAGAACACTGGGTCCTTAGGCCACCCTTATGAACGTCATATCTGTTTCTGATTGTTTTCTCAGAAACATTCACATCACGTGCCTGCTGGAGGTCCCTTTTGTAGGGCTCTGGGAGTGCTTATCCCGTTCCCTCATGCACTAAGGAGCAGATACTAGTCGTGCTGATGGGTTAAGGACCTCCTACGGCCCTGTCCAGCTCTCCTTGATTAACTGTCCCAGCACTGGAGTCTTGAGACTGTGCTGGGATAGGCAGCAAACCTTGGCAGGTATCGATGTGCCATGCTGGAGGAGTTAAACTGCCTGTGTAATCTCTGTAGGGTCCAGGTATCAGCTCATGATAGCTGTAGTGACACTGACCTCAGCCAAATGGAAAACAGTAAAAACACATGGAAAAGATGAGGAGGGAAAAAATGTCAGTGTTTAACTAGCTTCCAAGTTTTCAAACTTTCAAAGCATTGTTTACTTCAAAATCAGCTTTTTTGGCCAAGCAAGGAATTTGAGACTCAGTGGATTTGCTCACTAATACAACAGACATACAATTGAACAAGAACACCAATACTTAACAAAGTCACATTAAATCAGTTTTATTTTTGTATCCTTGTTATATTAAGACACACAAGGCTTCAAAATCTGTACTTTACATTACAACCTCTATCCCTTAGACTCTCAACTCAGTTGAAGAGCAGCTCCTTAATGGGCTAAAATGACATTGAATGTCATGAAATGAGGCATTTAAACCACTAACAGTAATTATAGTTATTTTTGAGTCCCTTCTGGTATGTTGTAATGATTATAACAACAATTCTGATGATACTTTCCACTCAGATGTCATATTGTGTTCTGCCATTAAACAGTTTGCTAATGAAACGTAAGTATAAAAATAATCCTTTAAAAAAGCAAGGAAAGGGAAGCAGTAAAATCTAGGTCACTCTTTGTCATCATTCCTCAGCTCTGACACTCATTCTGTAACAATCCTGCCAACAGAATCAGCTGTTTTGGAATAATACTGGGCAAAGATATGTTTGCTAAGACTTATTATAGGCCATAACATCAAGATCGATATGGAATTTCCGATCTGTCAGACGGGGTGCTTCATACTGCCTTCAGGTGTCATAGATGACAGGTCACAGTCTCACGACCTGCACACATTCCTTCATGTTTGTGTTTTCTTTTCTGCAGGTGGACAGCGACAGGCCGGAGGAGACCCGGCTTATAGAGATTGATGAATCCCAGCGTAGTGAGCACACAGTCTTCATCACGCCTCCAGAGCTGCCTCCTCTGCCCGAGGGAGAGGAGCATCCACTATGCTACAGGTACAAACTGTACTTATGGAAGTACAGTTACATTTCCAATGGAGGAATGGGGGTGCATAGATAGATAGATAGAATAGATGCAAATTAACTGGAAGAGACTTAAGGATTAAACGTGACGCTACCAGGAAGCCATTATCCTCTAGTACCACTGTACTCCAGAACTGCAATCTACCTGGAGTGTCCAGAATTACGAGATGTTCATTGCTCAAGGACATGACTGATGTAAGGAGGGCTGAAACACGATCACCACTGAACAAGACACACAAGTTAGAAATGTTAAGATTGGGCAAAGAAATATCTGAAGACACATTTTTCAAAGGCTGTATGGACAGATGAAGGGAGAGTGACTCTTGATGGACCAGATAGATGGGATCATAACTCGATCACGAATGGTTAAAGGGTACTAAGAGTCAAAGTGGAGGAGGTGCACTGGTTTGGGCTGCTATTATCAAGGATGAGCTAGTTGCACCATTGAAGATGGACTTAAAATAAACTCCCAAACCTATTGCCAGGTCCTAAAGATACTTTCTTCAAGCAGTGGTACAGAAAAAAGTTAGCAGCATTTAATAAGACTGTTGAGTACATTTGATGGTGCATTGAACTGCATGAAAACAAGTACTCCAGCGCTTGGCTACCCAGTAAAGGTCTCAAAGATGATAATAATGACACAGCCCTCTTCCTTGTTAGCCCTTCTGAAGCTTAAGATTTACAAACAGGGAAGACAGTATACCTCTTTAAGCATTTGGCAGGTTGTGGCTGCTGCTGCACAAAAAAATTGACAGATTATGGATGAAAGGCTGATGGCAGTCATCTTTCATCCATAGGCTGACTGCCTATGTTATCTTTGCTAATTAAATGTATCTTTCCTGTACAAAATGAAAATAAACAAGTACGACGGGAAAATTTGGGTTTTAAACAAAAGAGTGTGTAACATTTCCTTTGTTAAACATTCAGGTTTTTAGGTTTATTAACAATTTGGCTTGACTGAGAGGACTGGATTTGTTCCATAGTAAAATGAATCTTTCACTTGCCTAATAATTGTGCACATGGTGTATATAGTATTTTGTTCTAGTTTCATTCTGTGATGTCTGCATGTTTTTGTTTGCATGACATTTTTGAATAACAAAGTCGAATGTTGTGCACAAATGACGAGTAATATTTGTTTTAAATTTGGAAAGACATACAAATATGCTGCTGAGTACAATCCTCCTACTAGATGTCCTTCCTTGAGATGAATTGGAAATTCTCACAGCTAACAGCAGGGAAAAATCTGAACAATAGATTAAGTTTCAATTTGGTTAGTTCTTTCTTTTCAATAGCTGACTGAGGACCAGCAGGAGTTGAGCTGTCAAAGTGAGGACCAAGACTGAACTCTGCTGCTGGACCGTGTGGAGCTGAATATTTGTATTCTGCAGTCATGCCTCATTCTGAATTTTTTTTTTTTTTCAGAAGCACTTAAGTTATGTCCCAATCATAATCCATAATGACCAGCAGTTTTCCACATTTTTTTATTAGCTCTCTTTGTAGACAATTACAAAAAAGGTTTTGTATTGATGTCACTCTAACCTTGGAAGCAACCATTCCCCACAGGGTGTTTAGGCTCCAGCCTGATGGATGCCAACCCACTTTGTATGCATGTAAATAACTGTGTGCCCTCTTTCACTAATGTGTGAATGTGTGTTTTTCATTAGGTATGATGGTTTCCCAGTGTTGAGTTTAGATCTATTTGACCCCGTGGAGGGTCTGCAGACGCCCTCCTCCCGCCTCGCTGCCAGGCACAGCTGTCCCACCAGCCCTGCCCCCATGTTTAGACGCACCAAGCAGGTCAGCACAACAGAAACATGTTTTTTGTAACACTGCAATTTATGGGTTCATTTGGATTTTCATACTGATTTATTTATGCTTATAAATAAGGCAAAAATACATGCTGCTTTACCTACACGTCCAAACATGTTCCAAGAATCTCCAAAATTTTACAAGGCTGATAGCAAGTAAGACCATCAAAAAACATTTCTTTTTGTAGAGTCAGTATTTAAAGTTGATACTTGATAATTAAGCACACAGTACTGAACAGCTTCAAGCAATCCACAGATTTAAAAAAGATGCAAGTAGAAGTTTTTGTCTTGTTGACATGGTTTCCTTGCAGCTTTTTCTGATATGAGACAGTAGCGTAGGTAATTTTCATTTGCCATTATCTCCTGTGTGAATTCGACATGTCCCCGAGACCGAATTATGCATAATTTCTGCTTCTATTTTTCATCCACAGGAGATCAAATCAGCCCAGAAGATTGCTAAAAAGTACTCATCCATTCCTCAGCTGTGGTCCAAGTGCCTGCTGCGTCACTGCTACGGCCTGTGGTTCATCTGCCTGCCAGCATACGTGAAGGTGTGCCACTCCAAGGTGCGAGCGCTTCGCACAGCCTACGACGTCCTCAGGAAGATGCAGGCGAAGAAGCTACAGCCCCCTGATGAGGTACATCAGCTGTTGCCCCAAATTACCTGCTAACTGTTGATCATAGACTGTGTATGAAACTTTGACAAAGCCTCCAGATCTAAATAGTGAAGCCAGTACAGAAGTGCCGTAAACATGTATTTTCTCTAACTGTCGTGAAGGAAAGAAAAGTCTACACTTTTCTGATGAGTTTATAGACTCATTTGCTAGTTTTAGATCATGTGGAATACAGCATGAAGTAAATTTTTCATGTGATGGTACTCATGGCCTCTGTCAGTGCGCCCCAGGGTGGCTGTGGCTACAATGTAGCTTGTCATCACCAGTGTGTGAATGTGTGTGTGAATGGGTGGATGACTGGTTGTGTAAAGCGCTTTGGGGTCCTTACGGACTAGAAAAGCGCTATACACATACAGGCCATTTACCATTTATTTACCATTAGTATAAAAAAAAAGATATCCTTGATTGCTCGATTGTGTGATTACAAAGTTGCCAGCCTCAGTTACACAGTCGTCCACTCCTCACTCATCACATCCAGTTTAAAAACAGTGGCAGATTTTGTTTACAGTCTTTTGATTCAAGATGTCCAAACACACTTGCACAGTCTGTTTTTCAGTCTGTAGTATTTCTGCCCAAACAATCCACATGCAGGTCTGCTACCGGGTTCTGATGCAGCTGTGTGGACAGTATGGGCAGCCTGTCCTGGCAGTGAGGGTCCTCTTTGAGATGAAGAAGGCTGGAGTCCACCCCAACGCCATAACGTATGGTTACTATAACAAGGTACAGTGGTACTGCTGATGATAATGAAGGTAGAACTTGTGTGAAATTAATCTATCAACAAATTTACACTTTGTTGTTTTAAAAATGGATAGGCTATGACTCTCACTGATATCAACTGCTCTGCGTTGTCTAACGGATCCACGTGAATGCTGGGACATGCAAACACTGTTGCTGTCCTCCCTGCTCCCCTGAGCTTGCCATCTGTTTTGTTCGCACATTATAAATAATCTGCTGATTTTACTGCAACTTTAACTAGTGCATGGACACACCAATGACAGCCAACTGGCAATTTATAGAGCGACTGTCAAATAAGAAACTTGTTTTTTGTCAGCAGTGATGGATAAATGTGCAGACTGAGGCAGAGTAATAAAAGTCTGGAGAATTGGTTACTGTAGAAATCAATCAGGTTACCGGCCACATTATGAAAAAAGTATTTGTTTTAGTAAATGTCATATTTAATATGACTGAAGGAATAAATAAAAGCAAAGATTAAGATGCAGAGAGGAAATGATCTCTGAGTGACCTCTGAAGCCCCAGATTGAATGCAGTTTCTCAAATTTGATCTTCTGGATAAACATAGCTTAGGAATTTGGATGATAATAAGGCATACTGATTGCAACCTTGTTGATTGTTTATTCATGATTCACAAGCAGTCGCATAAATAATTGCATTCAGATAATCACACTGCTGTGCTCATTGCACAGTCAGTAAAAATCATCTGTCTCTTGGTGGCACTCACAAAGCAGAGACACTTCATTGTAGCAATGGCTACAATGGCAAACAGACACTCAGATTCAGATAAAAGAAAACATCGCTGACATTTGCGGCTTACCCCCAAGGTTGTGTGACACGGTGTGCGATCACCCGCAGGTGTCAGGATGAACCACATCCCTGTTATCACTGTAACCTGCCCCTGGTCTGCTGAACCAGGGAGCATAAAAGTAAATTGGCTGATGTGGGAGCAGACTGTCAAGAGGCAAGGCTGCAGTAAAGGTTACTAAGGGTAGTGTTTTGACACCTGAGAGGATCATATTTTCCCTTAGAAATAGATGGCCTGGAGGCAGGAGGTGGCAGAGTTGTACTCTGGCACAAGCTTTGTGTTCACAGTTACAGGTGGGTTTTCTTCCTCTTTTATGCTTCTGTAGGTGTTTGAAGTCCAAGTATGGGAATGAGAAATCTGCATAAGCATGCTTAAATATTAACTCTGCCCTTCATTCCCTATTAAATTCATATAGTTCCATATAAAAAAGTAAAAAAACAGCAGAACCTGAGGTGATCCATAGCTATAGAAAACTAAACTGAAAATAAAAAAATAAATACATTTAATTTAAATAAATGAAATACTTGAAGTTGCCCAGGGCAGGGGAGCATGCAATGATCTGTACCTGTGTCACATGTCAAAGAATAAATAAAGGATTTTCATTCAGCATAAATGTGACATTGCATGATCAGTGAGAAGAGCTTTGACATCACAGCAGCAAACTGAACAGGTTTTAATGTTTGCAGATCTTTGGCCTCGGTGGGTTAGACAAACCATACCAACTGTTCTCTGTCATCAGTGCTCTTTCATATGGATCTGTCTTTGCACTACACGAGGCTGGACTGGGTTCATAGTCAGACTGTTATATCAGAGTAAGAAGTCAGTCAATCTCATTTAAAACTAAATCTCATTTATCTTTTAATTATGTAAAATGGGATATTGTTTTCAGCCAGTTCAACTGTCAGTATGAAACTAGAACCAGCAGGTGATGAACTTTACAAACAGCTGCAGTGTTTTAATTAATGAGTTCCAAAGATGTTAGCAGAGAGATTTTCTTTTAGCCCTTGGCAGAAATGGGGTATCATTTCCACTTGCTCTTCTGTTTCTTTTAAACTAAGCCCAACTAAACGGTCTGCTGCCTGTAGCTTCACATTTACTGGAGCAATATGAGGGTCATATTCTTCCAACTACCCTCACGAAGCACAATTCACAAAATGTCAAGCTTTTTTTTTCATGTTGCTCAGGATATCATCATCGATGCCATTCAGTTCAGCCTAAAAAGTAGTTCTTCCTTGAATACAAAATGTGGTTCTTCTCTAGCCCTCTTGTCACTGCTGACAGCTCAGTAGTGCGACCTTATTTAATGAAATCTTCTGAACCTGCATACAAAAAACGACGGTGTGATAAACCCAGTTCTGTTCGGCTGCGTATCACTTTTCTTTATTATTATTGCTATTTTTCCACGGAGCCCCCCCCCCCCAAAATCAGCCTGTTGAACGTGACTTGGTCACCAACAGCTGCAATTCTGCTCCTCTGATCTTGAGTGTGACTGTAGATCTAATACCAGTGCAGTTAATGCCTTTGATGAAATATTCATTCAAGATGGGTTTATATGGAACAGAGATCGGTCCTATTTCAGTTCAGTCACTTCAAAATATTCAGTCGAAATAAATTGAATCAAGTCGGACGCTCGTCAGACTTGTCACGCTCATTTAGGAGAAGCGCTTCTCCTAAATGAGCGTGACAAGTATTTTCATATTAATATGAAAATATTTTATTTTTGAATTAATTTGGCAGCAAACATTTTTCTTTTCATGATATGATAGGAATCTGTTTCCCCTCCTGATGTCATCCTATCCTCACATCCGTCCTCATTTTCTTTGTCCTGCTCCTTGCCCAGGCGGTACTGGAGAGCACATGGCCCTCCAGCACCAGAGGAGGATACTTCCTGTGGATGAAGCTAAGAAATGTCATACTGGGCGTGGCGCAGTTCAAACGGGCACTACGACGACACGCACCCCTCACCCAGAGCCCTCTGTCAGGTAACTGTGATCAGTAACAGTCTGCATTCCTGAGAAAAGAAATGTCCCTTTTTCTCTTATTAGTCTGTCATCTTTAATGAAGAGAGTCAGAGTCCTTGACCTGACACGTCCCCTGGTGATTTGCATTCAGTCTTGGAATACTGTTACTCCACAAGATCTGGATGTAACTAATCAAATTTGGCAATAAAGCAGTAAGTGTAGCATTGCAGGCAGAGCAGATGACACACTGAGCATGCAGCTTGCAGCACAAGAGCCACAGACTGTCTCGTTAGCATTTTTTCCTGCTTAAATCTACTTATGATTTCAATGACAAACATGAACACACAACCAAACTCCAGGAAAAATGCACTGCTGATGTTGCTTTCCAGGCTTGATGGTTAATTAGTAGCTCAGGTGCAGTACATTAAAGAGGACTGCAACTAAAACTAATGATGTGTAATACTCACATGCCGCTGCAATGAGCCGAGAAGAAAAGGAGCACTACTGATTTTTCTTCTCATAATAATAAAAACATCAGCAGTACATGCAAAACATCTGACCGTAAGTTCAGTTGGACCTTCTGTAAGCCCAAGCAAACTTCCCTCACATTTTTCTATCAGACTTGCCCATCCATGAATGTCAAGCTCTGAAAACAAATTCTACCTGTCCACCATTCCTAAAATTAAATTTGCACCTATATTACAGTTGAAAGGTGAAACTCTAAAACACAGCTATCTCAGCATGCGATTGAACTCCCCTGCATGCCAGTGAACACCTGCACACTCACTGCATGCTAATCCCCAGCCTGCTAATCCCTGCTTTTTTAAGATACTGCCTGTTAGCAACGGGTGCATTGTGTTCTTCTCCACAGTTCAGTGTTGATTCAGTCTGAAAGGGCCAAAGGTTCCTGTGTGTTCCCATTTAACAAGCACACACTCATCCTTGCACAAGAAGCACACAAGCCACAATTGCACTATATCTTATTTATAGTACACAACAAATTTCCATTACATGTGCACTGTCAAACAACTCTTTAGTCTACGCTAATAGCTAATTAGAATGAATCAATTTTATGTGCAACAGCTGAGCCTGTCTTCCTTATAATTAACACAAAATTACTAGATATTATCCTGCTAATAAATTTACAGTTTAGGAAATTTGGGCAAATTGTATAACCCAAGTGAACTGTTACAACAACTGTTTTATATAATTGGATTTTCTTCAAAGGGCCCGTGTCTGTAACTACTCGTGTGCAGTTGCCAACCTCAAAGAAATGTCATGCGTTCAAGCATGAAAATGGGAATAGGACATGTGAGTGAATTGGCAGTTATATGCAGTCTGTTTGTGAAAAAAAATCTGTTGCCGTCTACATACAAAGAAATTAGGGCTGGGTATCGTCACTGATTTCTAGAATCGATTCAATTCCAATTCACAGGGTCCCCAAGCGATTCGATCCACGATTCGATTTAATTCGATTCGATTCGATTCAATTCTAATTGAATCTGGGAAATTTTGACAGTCAGAAATATTATAATTCAGATCAGTACATTTACATATTTTTGTATCTATAAAAAGGAAGCTGACACACGCAAGACTTTATCAAAGGTGTGAGCATCACAGCAGATGCCTTTGTGTCAAAGTAGCTGAAGATAAAACACAGAAAAACATGAAGGTTTTCCTGGCCTGGGATTTTATAAAAATATTCTGCAGTACATCAAAAAACGAAAGAAAACCATTAATCAACACATGAACATTACCTCTGAAGTTACAGCGGTTTTATTAGCGACACGGCTAAGCGTTTTGCATAATTTTAAAAAGTTTAAATTTGTTCAGTATTGAATGGCAGAAATTAGGTTTTCTTTTCGGAAGTATATAAAACGAAAAAAAAAACCTCGGCCGACAGAGCTGTAAACAACGGTAGACTTGTGCGTAACAAGCAAGCAAATAATGAAGAAAACAGATTTTTAGACGGGAAACTGTTCTTGATACAGAGAGAGAGTGAGAGAGAGCTGTGCATCGTGGTCGAAGCAAAACAGTAAAAGTAAGAGCGACAAACATCAAACATGACGATGTTTATGTGAAGCGTAGTTTGGATCTTCTTTTGCTGCTGGTTCGGTCAATATTGTTTGGAGAGACATCAAACTAACAGCTTTAGAATCAGCGCATAAAGGGCGAAAACACAAAGCGCGGACCCGCAGACAGAAAAAAACCCACCCCTAAAAGAAATTCCAATGAAGTACTTACATTCAGAGTTCAACCAGAACCTCACAGATTTGAAAGAGAAATTCCTCTAGTTGCTGCAGGACAGCATTTTTATTGCAAAATGATCGAGTGATCAGTTTTTACAAACTCAACAGCAGTTATTTGCAAAACTTTGCCAGTCTGCCTGAGACTGATTGCAGATTGTTTGGAGACAGGTTGCCTCCCACCAGGCAATCACCTTGCACTCATAAAGGGTCACCCAGATGTTGAGGGTCTTGCATGCTCAACCTCTGGACACCCTGCGGGTAGCTGCTACTACTTGGAATGAATCAATGAAAGAAACTCAGTGAAGCTCACCAGGCAGCCATGGATTTTTTTCTAGTCATGAGGAGGTTTCTGTCCTGTTTTTACTCTAGTGTGACTGAGCCATAAGTTAGACAGAAAATCAATTAAAAAATCTGATATAAATATACATAAAAACATGCAGAGGCTCATTTTCATAAACCATGACTCCTGTGTTATCAGTGGCACGCTATGTTACCTGATGTGTTACATTTTATGTAATAAAAGGCAGATTGACAATGTTAGTGCAGTGCTGACTTCGTGCTGATCAAAGAAGCATTAAGTATTCACGTCATCAGCTTTGTTTTTAATCTAGTCCCAAAATGCTTTTCAAAGAAAAATATTTTGCTTTGAACTAAGTCAGAGTTGCTTTTTTTGAGAAATGAAGACTTTTTCATGGAAGAGAGAAAGAACATTTCCTGAAACGTCATGGTCTGGCTCCTATGGGTACCATTCAGTGAGGCTTCCAATTGAGGACCTGTGTGGTGTCTGTCTGACAAATTAGAGACTCTGACATCATCTCACTCAGTTGTGCATCGAGGTCTTCTTTATTCTTTGGTCAGTCAGTTTGTGCTGTTCTGTGGAGGCCGTGGTGCTCGTGCTGTATGAAATCTGTTTACTACATCAACAAAACTTAATGTCTTTTAACAAAAATCCTGTTTCAAAGGAAAAAGTCATTTGGACATTTGAGAATATAAATGAACCCACAGAGGCAGATTTTTCCACACACTCATCTAGCTGTGCCAATACAGGGGTGATGGTTGCTCAAAATGGGCATCTGTACGCCTGCAAAGATACTCCAGTGTGATTTTAAGTAATCATTAATTTTCATTTAAAATATTTATGAGTTAATTTTCATGAAATGAAAACACGTTTTTCTTTCCACCCACAGAATAATGAATTTTCTATGCAATCCAAACTGGTGTAATTGATGTAAAAAGAGGTAAAAATAGAGCGGCTGTGTCTTGTTGAGCTTAAACGCCACCAGCCTCCTTTAACGCTTTGTTGTTTTTGGGCAGATGGCAGTGACCTGGACGCTGTGAGTCACGGCAGCCTGGATAGCTCTGCCGACACTAACCTGGTCGAGCAGGGCCCCTACGCCGCCGACTCTATCAAAGTAGACCCCACTGATGATAGATCTAGCACAGGTACACTTCAGATGGTTGCTGCGTGACTCCATCTTTCAATAGCAGCCATCTTATTCAACATCTTTTTCTTTTCTTTTTGTCACCCTTTCATCCTCCCTCCTCATTCGATCCACTCACCAACTCACTTACTCCTCATTTCCCTCTTCGATTTACACCTCCCTTCCTCCGCTTCCTGTTTTTCCTCCTGTTAATCCTTTTGTGCATCCATGATCGCCGCCTGGTTTTTGCGGCTGTGGTTTCTGCTCTGCTCTGTCCCTAACCTGCCTTCACTCTGGCCCTGCCTGTGTTGCCCTCGCATGCAGTCAGCTGTAGGGGCGGCAGCTTGGGCACCAGGGCCCCGGTGGCGCACTCACACGGTGGGGGCTTTGAGCTCAGAGAAGCCACCCTCCACCCAGGTAAACCCTCTCTCTCTCAGTCAGCCTTGTCTGATTCTGGTTGCGTTTGTCTGTGTTATCTATCTTAGCTGCTCTGCAACATTTTTTATTTTGCTCGTCATTGTCATTGTCACTGTTACGTGTTACTGTTTCTTGCTCTCCTCCCTGTGACTTCCTCTCCTCTTTCTTTCCTCCACTGTGTCATTGCTCCATCCAGCACATCAAAGTCCACTTCTATTTTCTTGCTCATTTTTCCCACGAGTTTTACTCTCACTCTCACTACTGAGTGATTTGTCTTTGTCAATTATGGCGAGTAATTATCCAGAGATGCATTCTTTTTGATTACGGAAATCATTTTAATCATGGAGATGGCACCTCAGCAGGAAGCGTCGCCTCGTGTGCATAAAGATTGAGAGTGAGACACAGCTCACAGCACAGCAGGTGGGAGGGACCTCCATGTGCAGCTAACTGGTTATTACTCTCCAGGATTTGGAGTTGTGTTACTCGCCGTCAGTTGCAAGTTGTTCTATGCTGTATCACAGCTGAGCTGTGCAGCCTCATGGTTTATTTAGAGGTGATTGCCACAAAGGCTCGTGTGGAGGATGAAAGAGGAGAACGAATCAATCAGCTCGTTGCCTGAGGACCCCAAAAACTTTTAGAGACAGATGGAAGCGTGAGCCTCGAGCCGTAGCAGTCAGAATCATTAGCAGCTGTAAAAATGTAGTTTGTTTTTATATGGTAACTGTAGATCTCTGCGTGCCTCGGGGGGGATTCCTTTATCCAGTACAGCTTAGCTGTTTTTTCTGCCTTCTCCCAGCACTAACAATGTGCCAGGCAGAACTGAGAAGATAAAGAGAAGAAAATGGCTCACTGGTTCATTCTCTCATAGATGTTTCATGTATCTCTCTTCCTACAGTGTAAAGCTACAGTAGATTCCTGTCCATGTAAGATTTTAGTCCCATAGCGCAATGCAGTGTATAGTGTTGTTATCTAGCATACAACATGGAAGTAAAGGGCTTGGACCTCAACTTTGTTCTTGAATTGTCCCTCTGCTTACACTTTCCGTGTGTGTGATGTGTATTTCTGTGACTTTGTGCTTTACTAGGTAGATAATTAGATATTCAGATAATTCACTGCCTGTGTTTGTCCTTGTCTTTCACCCAAGTTGTACTCTTTTTTTTTTCCTTCTTTTTTTTAGGTGATCAGTCAGACTTGGGTTATAATTCCCTGTCAAAAGAGGAGGTGCGGAGAGGAGACCCCGCTGGCCAGGACTCTGCCCCTGACAAAGACGACAAGAAGGAGAGCGACTGCAGCTCCTGTCAGTATTCTGTCTGATCTGATGTCACCTGATATTCCTTTGCCTTTAACTGTGGGGAAAAAAACCTAACTTGGCAGCATTGTAGCCACGTGGGATTTCCCTTTCCTCTGCCTTGATCTTTCTGTCTCCTCTAGAGATGATTCATTCCTTTTGGTTTCTCATGAACATCAAAGCTTTCAGTTGTTTGTTGTCCTGCAGTTAATTTTTTTTAAAGAATGTTGGTGTGTTTTGTGCTGTGTGCATAAATTGTAGTTGTTTTTCGTGTTTGTAGTGTCAGAGACAGAAAGTGCCAAGGGAAGCAAAGATTGCCTCCCTCAGCTTGACTTGGAGATGAGTTCTTCCTTCAGACCCCGTGGCATTGTTCGCAGCAGCTGTCCATTTGATGACTCAGCCTGTAAACCCAAGAGTTCCGCCAGCGCAGGTAGTTGCAAACTTTAGAGCTTAATGTCTGTGAAGGTTCTCAGTCATCGTAGTCTAAGGAGCTTGGAAAGAAAAGCGTCTGGACTTCTTTAAGTTGCTTGAAGACGTTTTACCACTCATCCGAGAAGCTTCTTCAGCTCTAAGGGTCAAATGGTGGAGAGTCCCAGATTTAAACCCAGTTTGCCCCCAAAGAGGGACAAAGGAGGACACTCTTTCGAGGATGCCAACATTCACATTTTGGACAGAGAGGACAGATGGTTTGAAAGAGGAGTGAAAGAAGCCATTTATGTCCACTGTGAGCGACCATCTTTGAACAGAGGCGGTGGTTTACGACACCAACTGTTTTGAGATCCCTTCCCAGACGCCTTAACGCCCACTCACATCCTGGGCCATCTGACCTCAGGAAATCACATGATAGGGTGGGGCCAGGTTTCACAATGAGCTCACCCGAAACCCTGGCTGATTGTGACCCACACCCGCTTTCACACTTTGGCTCATGTTATTAGGTAGAGGATCATCAGGGGGTCCTTTGTCCCTCTTTGGGGGGGATACTTGCACTGGGTTTAAATCTGGGACTCTCCACCATTTGACCCTTAGAACTGTAGAAGCTTCTCGGATGAGAGGCGAAACATCTTCAAGCAACTCAAAGAAGTCCAGACGCTTTTCTTTGCAAGCTCCTTAGACTTTAGAGCTTAATAGATTTTCTAATGTGGTACCTTAACTGTCTCTCTCTGCTGTAATTCACATTTCAAGGTTTTCTTTTTGGGATTTCCTCAATATAAGCATAGGAGTGCCTTGGACAATTTACCCGTACTCATACTTTTATTTTGTGACAAACAGTTGAAATTATTTAGCTGTTTCAGTTCACAGCTTTATTTTTTGGGTGTTCCTTGTTGAAAGGCTCCTCTGTAGTTATAGTTGGTGTCTTTCCTCATGTGCACAAGCTGGACTGAGGCCATGATCTTTTCTCTAACATTGAAAATTAACAAGTCAAGTGATCTCACTTCCTTTGCTCACTCGTGCCATCTCCTGATACAAATGCCATTTTTCTCTTTCTCCCTGTCTGCCAGACCACGTTGCAGGTCTCCTCTTCACTACCTCCCTGGATGAGATTGGTGAGATTCAGACAAACAGTTTGCTCCGGAGACATAAGAGCACTCTGGAGGAGGTGGTGGGCAGCGCCAGCAGTGGCTCTGCGCTTGACTGGCAGGGTGTAAAGAGCCGTCGGCTGAGTGGTGACACTGTGGGAAGCAGTGGGAGTGGCACCACTGTCCTGGGCCTGGGCATGAGCCAGGGTGAAACTGATCCAGATAAAATCGCAGGACACCTGGGCGCAGATGCTAAAATCCTCGCTGGTGCCAACTTCACTAAGGCTAGGAGGCCTCATTCCCTGGCTCTGGGTGGGCTCGAGGGGGTAGCTGCTAAGTCACACGCTGCCAGGAGTAGTGATCACAGGGAAGTGGATGAGGAGGCGGAGCGGCAGGACTCCAGCGATGAGGACAGGAACACTACAGAGGCCATTTTTGATCTGGAGGATTTGGATTTCGAAAAGCCCTCTAAGGGGGCAAAACCTTATAAAAAAGCTGTTGAACGTAGCGCCAGCTATGGTGGTGTGAGCACCATGACAAACAGAGGCACTGTGACGCGCACAGGTATTGAAACAGGCTACGACCCTCTCTCCCTCCTGGCAGCAGAGTCTGATCAGCAAAATGAGGAACGGTACACGGAGGGGGACCAGGCCAGCACTCCTAGTGCCCGGAGGCACCTGGCCAGGGAGATTGAGCTCTACATGAACCACATGGGCAGCCCGCTGAGCAGCCGCACGCCCAGTCTGGACTTCCAGGACCCAGCCAGCCCCGTCCTCCTCCACCATTCCTTACTCTCTGCTTCCTCCCGCAGAGCCAGCCTCCCCCACAGCTCCCCCCTCAGGACTGCAGGAGTGTCTCGCTCCCGCACCTTCCAGCCGCCGTCGCCCTCGCAGCCCATCGCGCGCCAACATCTGTGGTCTTCGCCTCCAACTCGAAGCTTGAGCACCACCCCCAGCCCGAGTCCTCGACCCAGCCCCTACAGAGAGAGGGCGGACAGGATGAGTCTGACGTCACCTTCACTCTCCTCCTCCTCTTTTGCTTTAGATACACTCCTGACGCCAACACTGGATGTGTTCAAGACCAGCATGTTCTCTGCTGGGAAGGGAGTAGCAGAGAAAGCGAGCCGCTGGTACACGCGCCTTGCCACATACACAACACCCACCAAGGTACAGAGTCCTGCTCTCTCTTTTCATTGAAAAAAATAAATATGGTGTGCTGACCACATACAAAATAGGCTTTAGTTTGATTTTGATATTTTAGAGAAAATTCACAGGAACCTCAAGATTTCTCAAAATCGTCTGGCTGACGCCACCATTTTTGTTTGTTTTAGAGTATTAGATGTGAATTTACACCCTAATTTTAAACCAATAATGTATGTTTTAAGTGAAAAATATCTCCAACTACTGTGCAAACGCCTGTAGTCTTATTGATAGAGAATCTGTACTTCTACACTGTAACAAGTTTGTGCCAGTGACTTACATCAACTATTAACTATTCTATAACTCAGCATATGAATGAGACCAAAGCCTGTGTGCTGCTGCCATCTTGTGGCCGTCCAGCAGGATTCTGTGAAATCCTGCATTAGTAATTGTGTCATTGTGTTCTGCTCTTTATTATAAAGTTTCCAAAACAATAGAGAAGAAACACCACAAAACAAAAATCTCTCCCAAAGACAGTACATAATCTTCTCCTGCCATGTGCAAACTGTGTGAGTGTTCCTTTTGTGAGACATTTCAGAAATGTGTGTCCTCATTGGAGTTTTTGAGACTTTCACATTATCCATTTGAATTCTTCCCCCTGAAAAACCTAAATAAATTGCACAATTTAGTAGCACAGTTTGTTGTTTTTTTGTTTTCTTTCATATAAGCAACTAAATATTGTACCTGTAGATTTGAGTGATTCGTGCTGTGGTTTCGTTTATATTTTTACATTGATCTTCTTGGAGGCAGTCAGAGTTACTAATAAGTCATTTAAAATAATCTGCAGTTGCTGTGAAAGTTTGAAGTTAGACTGGCAAAAACTGAAATGCTCTGCTCTCCTCATCCAGGACAGCCAGAGTGACCGTTTGAGCGTGTCCTCCCTCGGTGCGGGAGATCCAGACTGCTCCTCACTGTTAGATGAGGAAGACTCTGGAGACACAGAGCACTCAATGGTCTTTCCATTGAGGAATGGCCCTGTTGGCCCTCCAGGACCTCGCAGGAGTCCCAGACGCAGCCCCCTCCGCAGCCATCTGGACAGTCCCACTGCAGGATCGAGCTATGGAAGACCCACATCTCTGCTCCCTGGTCAGCACAAGATTCACTCAAATGAATGTTCTTTTTCCTTTTTAAAAAATTGTGCATTTTTTGCTTTTTATTTTTTAATTTCTTTCTGTTTCGTGCTGCTTTGTTTTCTTTCTTTAATATCATTCTCATGTGCGTTGTGTTGGACTCATAAAGCACTCTGTGTTTATGTGAAAAGCACTGTATAAATAAATGCTTGATTCTAGGCAACGGGTTTCTACTTATCAACCAAGAAACGCTATCGCTGTATTTTCCTCTTTAGTGTAGTCAATGAAAAAACAAAGCTTTGCAGTTTGTATAGAAGAATATAGAATTTGATTATCTACAGTATGCTTTAGACCTGCTTTCAGTAGTCTGGCCTGTTCTTTATGGCAAACATTAACACACCAAGATGGAAAATGACAAGTAGTCTGATAAGAATAAAGAATAAATTCAAATAAATATAATTGCCCCCTCACATATTCTGACAGTTTGTTCATCCTGATGCAGGACTGCCTGGCTTCTCTCTGCCAGACAAGTCGGACCTCAGCTCTTCACGGTACACCAGCAACACTAGCATCTTCAACAACTACGCCATGGAGGTAAAACTGCAAGATAAAAAAATATCAAAACTAATCTTCCACAGAAGCTAAAACGTGTCTCTGCGTCTGTGTCCTCTTCCTCCAGCTGCTGATCTCCAGCTGTTCTCGCTGTAAGACCTGCGACTGCCTGGTGTATGATGAGGAGATCATGGCCGGCTGGACAGCAGACGACTCCAACCTGAACACCACCTGCCCCTTCTGTGGAAACCCATTCCTGCCGTTCCTCAATGTGGAGATCAGGGACATGCGAGGACCTGGCAGGTAGGCAAATGCTCAAGTGCTGTATGTGTGTATGCTGTTTTTATGTGCTTGTTGACTATTGACAATATTTTCAAAAAAGATGAAAAAGATGAAATAAATCACCTTCAATTCTTCTCCCCTTCATCTTTTCCCCCTCCGTCCATATTGATTAAATGCCAGAATTATGTAAAGTTACTTTTTAAATGATCTAAGGCTTGCTTCGTTTCAAATAAAGTTCAACCAAAAGTTAGAGTTGAGACACGTACATTCTTAGTCATTAATTATTACGCGTTTAACACACTGAAACTAAGGTGACCTTCATCAGAACTTTATGGATGTTGTGTTAGCCTAGCTTTAGCATAAGCACATCCAAGTGGAGATATGACTAAATTAAAAGTCATATCATTTTTTTAGACGACACCAAAATGTTGTAAGTGGGCTCCAGACTTGAGTGCTTTTGGTCTCAAAAGCAAAGAACCCCACAGGTGTAATTGATTATTTCTGTTACTTGATGTTCTCTTCAGTATCGATAACGCTGCTTCAGGTAAGTAAGAAGAATACAGACAAGCACAAAACCTTCATTGTGATTAAGTTCTACTTAAAGTTCCACTACTTGAGAAATGTCTTATTAAGTACTGATTAAGTAATGTTTTTTTTTCCTTTTTCTCTCCTCTCTGCAGGCTCTTCCTGAAGGGCAGCCCATCAGTAGATGAGGCGACGACCTCGTCATATTCTGCCTCCACAGGGCTGGACACAGGGACATCCACCTTGTCTACTCCCTGTCCCACGACAGCTATCTCCCCTCAGTCCCCTATGATTGCTGTGCAGGAGTGCTCAGCAAGGTATGCACTGATACTCAGTGTTAAACTACATTCTTACATTTACATTTGTTTACATGCTCTTGTCAAAATCAAAATATTTGCTAGTTTTCTTTTGAAAATTTAAGAAATTCTTTAAGAATTAAAGTGTGGACAGTAGTGACAAATGAAACCCTCTGACTGAAACTGGAGCACGTACAGTAAAAAGAACACAATTACCGACTGACAGAGATAAACAAAACATTTGTTGTATAATGAAAAGCTTGAGGCTACATTAGCTGCTGCTAACATACCACACCTGAATGTAGTGGAGCTTTTGGCTACTTATGTTTTTGCTCATTTCTGATTTAAATTTAGTATCAAAACATGTTAGTGAGACAAATAATCATACAATTGTTTTTAAAATCTTTCACAATATTTGTTAACAAGCAATGCATGAAAACATGAAAAGATGGTGTTTTGTCTAAAATATGAAAAAATAAATTAAAATAAGTACTGCACTGTTGAGACACCTTCAGATTAAAAGGACTTCTTTTTGTTCTGTTTGTTTGTTGTCTGTGCTTCCGTATCTTTTACCTCGTGTCTTGTACAACTGTTACAATGTTATTATGGCCTGAGATCTGAAATACAGTGCGATGATCATCATCATCATTAAAAATTTTGTTCTTCCTGTAGTTTAGTTTTAGATGTGCTGTATGATTTTATTTTTTTTAATTTATTTGTGGACCTCTGCTCATCTTCATGCAGCTTGTCTGGTTACACAATGCTATTGAACTGAAAAGCTACTGTAGCTGCATCCACACACTCCACATCTGCATTGTAAAAGAGCAGTGAATCTGCATCACCTGTCCTAACAAAGCTCAGTGTGTGTGTGCCTGTGTGAGTGTGTGTGTGTGCAGGTGCAATTTTGTGAGGTATTTGGGGGGAAACTTGAGATTATGAAATGTGTGAGCAATAGGGATGAACAGAAACAGATATATCACTAAAATACTTGACATAGAGCAAGCAAACAGATGTGTATTTACCACAATTGTGGCATTAATTGCTTTTAAATTATGTTCCCTGATCTGCATCCAAGTGTAGACAAGTACAAGTTGAATAAATTAATACCATGAAAATTTGTCTGGTCTTTATTAAACACAGCTCAGTACACAGTGGGCAAATAATTGAACATGTGAAAACATCCTTTAGCTGCAGGATGAGAAGGGATTTTGAACTATTGCTCCTGTTTCAGTTTATCAGTCAGGTGATGCCACAGGATTTCAAGTTGGTTAAAGTTAGTATTCACACTTGGCCATTTAAAACCTGAATTTTCTCTTCCAGCCACTCTGGTTTTCATTCCTGCTGTGCTTTGAGTCACTGTTTGCTTCAGGTTGCTGCCCTGACACTCTCCTGTAAAATATACAGTTTGTAATTCGAAGGCAGAGTGAAATTTCTTAATGTGATCTAAAGAAATCAGTGTTGCTGTTTATAGAAAAGTAACACTATACCTAATCATTGACCCTATGTTCAAATAGTCAGTATTGTCTATGGGAAAAAGGGCCAAATTGTCTTTGCTGTATCTTTGCAGGTCTCGGTCAACCAGGGATCAAGGCATCAATATACCCGTAGAACGCCGGCAGGGGGCGCGATCCTCTGGAGCTCCTATAGCCCGTAGTGTCAGCGCCTTTGGTCCTCTGGATGAAACGACCCGACACAACTGCTGTTTGCCAACATCAGGCAGCCTGCCCAGTTGTCTGAACGAAGCCACGGTAAGGCTGGACTGGTGTGTGTACGGCATGTCTTGAATCCGTGAACTTAAGTGTTCATGTTCGGTACCTCTAGTAGTTTACTCTGGGAACAAAATACACAATGAAAGGAGAGACAGAGGTTTTAAAACGTCCAGTTCTGAAAATAATGCAAACCAAAACAAAAACCTGTTGCTGCATATCCCTTTGTGTTGGATAACTTCAAACCTGTCTTCATTAATATTTAACCATAACAATGTTAATCACTCACATCTCCTGCATATATAAATAAGTCATTTGGCTGTAGCTCAGGTGGCAGAGCAGGTCAGCCACTAATCAGAAGGTCGGTGGTTCGATCCCAGGCTGCATCCTGGCTGCATGTCAAATATCCTTGGGCAAGATACTAACCCCATGTTTGCCTACTGGTGGTGGTCAGAGGGCCTGGTGGCGCCTGTGTCCGGCAGCCTCGCCTCTGTCAGTGCGCCCCAGGGCAGCTGTGGCTACAATGTAGCTTGCCATTGCCAGTGTGTGAATGTGTGTGTGAATGGGTGAATGACTGAATGTAGTGTAAAGCGCTTTGGGGTCCTATGGACTAGAAAAGCGCTATACAAATGCAGGCGATTACCATTTGTCATCCATCGATCCATCCATTCACTTTCGTCTGCTTATCTGGGGCTGGGTTGCAGCCCACACAGAGGAATTCCCAGGCCAGATCGTGGCTCTAGAGCACAAGCTGGCTGTGAACCTAAGCAGTTCTCTTTTTGTGACACTCAGGACCCACTGAGTATGGAGTGGCGGCTTCACAACCCAGAGCCTGTGACGGTTCCCTACCTGAGCCCACTGGTGCTGTGGAAGGAGCTCGAGAGTCTGCTGGAGAACGAGGGCGACTCAGTGATCACAGAGGCTGACATGGTGGACCATCACCCCATCATCTACTGGAACCTGGTCTGGTACTTCAGACGGCTGGACCTACCCAGCAACCTGCCAGGTCTCATCCTCACCTCTGAGCACTGCAACAGAGACTCCCAGGTCGGACATGCGCACACGCACGCATGCACGCACACGCGCACACACACGCACACACACACACACACACACACACACACAAAAGATCCAATGGCTTGTGATAATGGAAGAAAAAAGAAAGGAATATTTTTTTGTTTCACAGCATTTTTCAGCATTGGCACGTCTGACTCACACTGTTTCTTCTCAGATCCCTCACCACTGGATGTCTGAGGACAGTAAACATGTGTTGATCCAGATCCTGTGGGACAACCTCAAGCTGCACCAGGACCCCATCCAGCCTCTGTACATCCTTTGGAACACATACAGTGAGTTGCACTGCTTGGACATGTTTTCTATTTCCTCAGATATTGGGGAAATTTGCTCAGGTCCTGTAACCGTCTGTCCAAAATGAAAATACAAAAAAGAAGAGAATATTGTAAAACCTGCGTTTAGATGGAGGTTCTTTCAGCAGCTCTCAACCAAAAACAGAGAGAGATTTTTTTGTGTGTGTTAGGTAAGTTAATTAACGTTTTTTATGAAATTCAATAAAAACCCTTTTAACACATTTATGTGTGTTAGGGTGAGTATATGCCTGCATATATGCATAAAACATATCTATGCATAAGCTTTTTTTGCCTCACTTAGTTTTAATGTTAGTACAGATGTTCAACAATGTTAAATAATAACTGTATATATATTCTAGAAGCAGTTTGATCAGAAAGCCTCCTGTGTATATATGCTGAACAATAATATTGTTTTTAAAGGTGAGACCACTCATCTATAATATTAGTAAGTACATTTCCATCTGCCTAATTTTGTCCATATTTTAACAAAAAAGTGGGAAACAAAAGAAAATCCAAACATGGGCTCGCCTCAAACTTTTTTAATTACAGTTACAAACTGAATATATTCTGCTGTGTTTTAATAATTTCAGTAAATTTGAATTAGTTCCACCGACTTCTAATATTCACATAGTAGTAGTAGTAGATGCACATTTTTTTCTAATTATATTTTCTTTTGAGGTTTCTGGAAGTTTTCTGGGCTAAACTTGAATGAAAGCCTGACTGGTGACAATCAAAAGACAAGAAAATGTAACTGTCATTTGCTCTCCCAAAGATCCATCACAATTAAACACCCCTAAATCCACACTAGGTAGCAAAGTTAGGAAGAAGTAGTATTGTTTATCAGTCTTCATACAAAGGCCACACAAAGGACGGGGCTGCTGCTGCTGTCAGGACAACTGTTTTAGAGGGTTTTTAAAACAGCCACTTGACCCTGGGACCAATCAGCAGCTGCCAGCTCTCCAATCAGGAATGACCTCCAGAGACTCTTAACAGAACACACAGAACTAAATCCAGCCACTGTGATCCAAATTATGGTCAGGGCTGTAACACAGAGTTCTAAGTAGCACGAAGTAAAACATAATAAGATTATTTATGAAATGTGTGGCTGAAAAATTACAGAAGCTTTCACTAAAATGCTTTATACAGTATGCTTAAAAATGCTTAAAAATAAGTAATCCAGTTTGTCCTTACTAACAGATAAAGGATGGAAATGCTCATCGATTACTATTTTGTTTTTCAGCATTTCTCAGGATTGAAACTTGTTATGTTCCAAGTTCCAATCACAAGAGTGAGTTAAACTAAAGAAAAGATATTCAGGATTAAAATGAGAATTAGAATTTCAAAAAAAGCCCGGTCGTTTAAATGAGTCTGAAGTTGCAGGGGTTTGTTTTTTTTTTGGGGGGGGGGGGGGGGGGTTTTTTTAGTCCTGGGAACAGCTGGATTTGTGAGGGCAAATACCACAGCCTGGTGCTAACATGTCTGCAGTAACTGACTGTTTAACGGAGGAGGAGGCGCAGTGGCCGATCTGTGTGCTAACAGGCTGTGTCTGCTCTCTGTCTTGCAGGACTTAATTGTACTCTGTTGTTAGAGAGTGAGTGTTCACCTCTGCTGCAGACGGCCTCAGATGAGTCCTGTTGTTTGTGTGCTGTCCTCTGCTCTGGCTGTTTCCCTCTGTTCTGTGTCCTTTGCTTGTTGCACTGCAGTGTTGTCTGTGGAAAGTCAGTGGCTGGTTTCCCAGTGTTGGAATGAAAGTGTTTGTGCGGTGTAAAATCTTACTGAGACTTTGACTCTGAGGTGGTTTTGACATGTTTGCCTCAAATACAGCCCTGCTCTGTATTTGAACGTGGGTTTGCATCTGTGGTGACTGTCCGCTGTGTTTGTCCACTTGTAATGAGGACATTCAGCAACGTGTGGTGCTTAAAGGGCTGGGTACTGAACACCGACCGCTGCCACTCCTGAACACTGTTACTGTTTGTAGTTTAACAGGCAATCTGTGTAAAGTTTGACATTCTTATTTATTAGAAGTTAGCTTCTAAATATATTGCAACTTTTAACCTTCAGAAATAGTTTTATATAAATCATACTATGTTATATGTACTAACAGGAAGTTAGTACAGAGCTTCAGGTTGCAGTACTGGTGGGTCTTTAAACTGTAAATATAGACATGACAGTGTTTTATGGCCCTAGTATCCTAGGAAATTAGTATGTTATGTAACTTCTAACAATTTCATAAACAAAAATATATTTTATGCTAATATTTGAGTATAGTAGTAGTAATTTTTTTGTGCATGCATGAAAATGTCTGATAATATGTATTTATCCCTGAGGGTATCTGCCCATCTTACAACATTATTATATCATTTACTATATCAATAGTAATTAAATACTTATATGAAACTAAAGGCAAAATATGAATGTAATATGTGTTCCTGGATATGTGTACATATATTATAAAACTTCCATCTTTTTATATTAAAAAGTGAAGCAGTATGTAGGTAGGAGCAGTAATAATGCAGTTCTGTGCTGAGAATAAATGAGAAATATCAGTGAACAGTTGTATTGCATGTAATGTAATCTTATGGTAACTGTTTGAAGTATATTTCGGGGGCTATTTTCAGTTTTATTTATGCAGCACAGCGGAGGCACAAATATGAGACTAGACAGCAGAATAGGGGAGACGTGCACATGTGCAGTCAGGGCTCTGCTGTAAGGACATTTTTACCACATGTATGTACTCTCACAACACAATCAGTGGGCCATGCTGTTATAATAAGCTAATTATAATATAATGTATAATATATCATTTTAACTATAATTTAATTTGAACTTACCTGAAGAGAGAAAGAAGATAACTACACTGGTCAAGTATAAAGCAACAAATGCAACAATTCTTCATGACAGGATGTTGAGTCGTAGTTTTCTAGCAGAGTTTCTGAAGTGAATTAGTTAAGCTTTGAGAGGAAACTGTACTGTTTGGCAGAACAGATTGTAATGACTGTAATTACAAGGAACCACGTAACGTGTAACAAATAATTACTCTTAAATTTAAATCTTAAAAGTTACAGATAACATTATTTTTATTTTAATGTATATGACAAGTAAAGTATTCAGTTGTTAATTTGTATATTGCCGGCTTACATTCATTATGTACTGTGCATCCACTTTTTAACCCATGTTTTTCATTATAATATTATTGTACTAGATTTACTTATTCAACACCTGCAAGTGTAGTACCACTTTATGCCTTCCAGATACCCAGCCCCAAGTGCTTCTCATCAGAGAGAGTGCCCACTCTTCACAGATGATCTATTATTGAAATTATTTTCACATGTCTGATGCAAAATCATGATGAATTGTGTGCGTGTGTGCTTGTGTTCCAGATGTTGGTTACCCTGTGTCTCGGCCAGTCCCAGAGGAAGAAAAGCCGTTCAGTGAGGAGCTGCTGCACAGTATGGTGAAGAGCATCCAGAGGAACGACGTCAGCCGCCCGATGGCTCAGCTGCTGCAGCTGCTGGGGCGGACGCTCGGGGTCAAAAGGCAAAGGTCAGCACCAACTGTTCAGTCACGTATAAGGACAATTCATATTTGAAGGCTTTTCCAGTTATATTGTAATATAAATTGGCCACAAATGCAGTAATAAGGCATTTATTATGTGTAAAATACACAGGCCGTGCAGTTTTGTTTGGTAATATTTTCAGCTGTGGATTGATATAAATTCAGTCCTCTAGTCAGTGCCGTTTGGTTAGTGGGAAGTGTATGTCACAGAGTCCGAAAATGTGACACACTGAAACATGCTCGCAGAGAGATGCACTGTGCTCATCAGGGAGTGTTATATGGAGAGTTGATTTGATTATTGTTCTTATTTTCATTCACTTAACCCCGACAACCACAAACGAGCAGTCAATTTACACAGTTTCCAATTATTGTACTTGCAATAACAGGACCTGAGAGGGAAAAGGGAGACAGCATGACTGTTTAATACCTGCTTGAATGTTTGCATGAAGGCAGCAAAGTTTGCCTTGTGCTTCTGCTCATTATGATCGGCGTGTCTGTTCATCTAATTATTGTGTTTATGGAAGAAAGACCTACCAGTTTGGGTTTAGGAAAAAGTGATTCAAATATACACGTTTAAAGCACTCACTCATCTGCCATTTATACTGATCGCATGTGACCTTGCCTTTCTTCCTCAGGAGTTTGTACAGGGACATCCTCTTCCTGTCCTTGGTGGCTCTGGGAAAAGATAACATTGATATTGGTGAGTATTAAGTTTATGTCTTGGATGTGTATGTTTTAAAAGAGTGTTTCTTACATAACATACGTATATATGTGTGTCTGTCAATAATTCATTTGATTAACTCTATTGTAAAATTCATAAAACAGCATGAATTCATTTAAACCTGAACTTTGGGGGAAGTATTAATAAGCTATAAATGAACCTAACTGTATATGCAGCATCACTGCTCTTCACAGCAATTGTATTAGCGAGCTATTTATTAGATTTTTAGAACTTTAAAGATTTTTTTGAGTTTTGTTTCCAAGTCCAATATCGGCTCCGTTTTGCTCAGCCAGTCCTCATTGTGTCCTCAAAGAGATAAAAGTGTAAATGAGTGCAGTTACATGTAGCCTTAATGAACTGATTGACATGTTTAAATGTTTTAAGAAAAAATCTCCACCCACATGTTATTTGGCTGCCGATCTCTCCTCTTCTCACAGACGCCTTCGACCGTGAGTACAAGTTGGCGTACGATCGCCTTACACCCAACCTGGTGAAGCTGACCCACAACTGTGACCGTCCTCCGAGCACAGGTGTCATGGAGTGTCGCAGGACTTTTGGAGAGCCTTACTTGTAAAGAGTCACCTAAACACACCATGATTAACTCTCATTATCCTCATTGTTGCTTTAAGACTAGCTCAGGAAACCAGTTGGAAGACCACGAATGTGCACTACGGGAATGTTTGGGGGAACTCTGTAAGCGCTCATAGGGGTACAGGTGACTGTGGACAGCATTATGTAGCCTGAAGTTTTAGAGACTTCTATCTATGAGGACAGAAACACTACACGCAGCGTTCATAAACTACTCTCCATGCAGTGTCGAGTGAGCCGCAACAGCTTACATTGGGAATGAGTGACAGTGATGCAGATATCCTGTAAATACAAAACAGGAAAGGATTTTTTTAATGTACCATTCTTATTGTATATCATTTCATCATATGAAGACTAATATTAGCAATATTTTAACTGGAACTTTATTTATACAAAGTCAGCTTATGTATTGTACCGTCCTTTTGTTATGTGCAGTGTTTGACTTTGACCTGTGGTCGCTGGCCGTCTTCTCGTCTTGCAGTTTTAAACCAGGAAAAATGTTTTCGCTCAGTGTGGAAAAGATGCAGTACATGTTTGGTGTGTGTTTTCAGTGAGCTTTCTATGCTTTATGAGATGGAACTTTTTTAATTAGATCTGCATCAATTTTGAAGACAGATTGCATAGATCTACAGGCTTTCTAGTTGTCAGCGAAAAGTGACGGAACATAAAGCCAACACGGTGGTTTACAGAAGCCCTGAGAGGCGAGTGAGGCAAACAAAATCAAATGAATCTGATATAAAGTGTCCTGTATTTATGACTAAAGACCAAGCTGGGAAAAATGATCTACCTTCCCTTCTCTGAAACACAGGGGAAAAGCATGATCCTGCATTTACAAAGCATTTGTTTTTCACTGTTTAAGCCATAAACATCAGAGTTACAAAATAGTTTTTTCATAAAAATAAACAGCAGAAACACGTCACAGTGACAGAGTAAAAGACCTTATCATAAATCAGTTCAGATTAAACAGCACATTTCATTGTAAAAAAAACAATCATGTTCATTACTTTAAATCAGTGAATGTTATGACCCTGATCCTCTCAGGGAGCGATGAATGCTGATCACGTTAATCTTTTCTTGTACTGAAGAGCATATGTCCTTATTACCAGATCAAGTGTATTTTTTTTCACTTGTCAGAGAAAATGGTATGTTTGGGGTTTGTTTACAAAAAACGATTTCTGAGCTTTAAGCTATTCATCCCCATGAAAAGTACCACTTTTAGTCTTCTTCAGCGGGGTGTTTGTTGTCAGAGTACATATCAGTGTTACAGAGGTGTTACCGGCCCTATAGGAAGCCACATAGCGGTGAGGAAGAGGGCAGATTGCGGACAGGTGAGTCTTCTGCAGCCAATCAGCATTAAAGCTCAATCAGAGCGGTTAACAGGGATGGCAGACAATCTTTGATAGATGGAGCAGTGAGGCATGTGTAACACCTCCACCTTCACCTCAACCACAAAAAAAGATAACATGTCACCAAACCATTGTTTTTTTACTTTGAAACTTGACTTGATGTTCAAAGGCTGTAAAAATAATAGCCAACACATCCGCCACTGGTATGAGTTACACATGAGTGTGTCGCATTTGTTTACATTCATTTTCGTGGTCTAACCCGAATCGAGAGATGAATTTGGGGTTGTAAGAGTTCACAGCATGAATTAGTTCAAATTAAATATTTTAAATGGCAACCATATACACAGTCAGCCATAATAACAATAATAATAACAATAATAATAATAATAATAATGAACCTTTTATGCAGTTTTTTTGTTATTCACAGTTATTTCTTTAATTCGTGATGATAACAGCAGACTGAAATTTAAAGTCAAAGTAAACTTTATTTGTCATGCTGGCCACACAAGGACTGCATAGTGGGACAAAACTGTGTTTCTCCTAGAACACCATGCACTATAGTCATAGTAATTATACATGAATACCCAGCTAAGATCAAAATCTACAAATATTGCACAGCAGAAACTTAGGCACTATATGTGAATCTTTGTACTGATGAATATTAAAAACATAGGTGCTCATGTTATGCAGACACTGAAAATATTGCACAAATTAGCAGCAGTTGCAGAGACATTTTGTGTAAGAGTTTGCATATACAACGGTTCTTGGATTGGTGTGTGATAGTGTGTATTTAAAGAGAGTTCAGGACTCTAATGCTGCGATAGCGTTTTTTAGAGGGCAGGATGGTAAACGGTTTGCGTGTCGGCAGCTCTGTGCAGGCAGGATTTGGTGTGTGGTCCTGTGGGGGTGAGAGAGGAGACCTGGCGACCTGACCTGGTGTCTTCACCATTCTCTGAAGTTTGCTCTGAGACATTGCTCTCTGTAGTGCTTCTGTGGGAAGTGTTGAGGGCAGAAGGGAGTCTGATTGCTCTTCTTGACCGCTTCAGGAAGCGCAAGCGCTGCTGTCTACCTTTTGATGAGGAAGGTGGTATCTGTAAGCCCAGGAACCCGGTGCTGTTAACTAGCAGTGCGGTGCTGTCAAGGATTGTGGGTGGAGTGTGGGATAAATAGCGTGAACAATCACCCTTACAACATACAATATCAATTGATCTATGTGACCTAAATCACTTTATCTGGAGGGAAAACCAAAGTGAATTTTTGATTTGTTGGTAACAATTATCCAACTATAAAGATATCAATGAGTCTTAGCGGAGGTTAATAAAAGAGCTTTGTGTTTATGGTACAAACTGTAAAGTCCCACCTGTCATTTAATAACAGCATATCTGAGTGTTTATTGCACATGCAGCCAGTTAAGCCTGTGGCTGAATCAAATGACTTTAATCTCATTGCCTTCTGCTTCCATATTGGTTTAATACAATAATCCAAATCATTTTAATGTCTTGGACCTCAAGGTGGCTCCTGTGTTTTGTGTTGTCTCTTCTTTGCTTGTCTATGGATGCAGGTTGTCACCTGCCACCGAGCAGCCAGGATGCCAGAATCTTTTGGGAACATATGTGGAGAAAAGGTTTAAATTTTTCATTCTGGCAACATCCAGCCAGTTTTATTAGTGTTGTATCAGACTAAAGCTAAATTAATAATTCTTATTTCAGCTAGCATAAACAAACAGTAAAAGAGGACTTTATTATAAAAAGTGGGATTTATGAAAAGCTTGATACCTGGAGATGTTTACACCCTGAGGTCTGTATCCACCATTGAATTTACTAAAGATTTAACTTTTGGACAGGTGTAAAGATAACAGAGTTCAACTTTGCAAAGAGCCTACTTCACTTTTAATTTGAATATAAAGTTCATATTTTAATTTTTTAAAACCCTTATGGGGTTATTTAAGTTCTAGAGACCGTATGATGTTATGTTGGAGAAAATCAAACGGACCCTGGAGTGCATTGCCTCTGTCGCTTATATTTGTTACTGCCTTAGTGAGGATATTAATCCAGCTTTGAAAGGCAGAGTGGTTGAAGGAGGACCCCTGACTCTGAAATCACCAAGGTCCTATGAATATCAGCCAAGTCTTTGATTTGTGGCATGGCTAAGCAAAACTGGAAAAGTTTAACAAGTTGCACGTCTTTGTCCCTGAAAAAAAACCCAAACCTTTAGGTGTGGAAATCTCTTTAACTGGTGAATTTTGATTTGGGAGATGACACATCAGCTTAGAAAGGCTGTGATTCATTTGTGGATTTCTGTTGTGTTTAAAAAACAATAGTACTGTAAAAATAAATGATTTTGCAGATTCTGGGCCATGTACATTTGAATTGCCCTTTGTATAAATCACATTTTATAACCGTGTATTCACACATGTGCAAAGGTCCTTTTAGAAGTGGTGAAGTTCTGACGTTCTGTACAGCGACCAGATCTACAGGACTGTTTAGGTGTAAATAAAATCATGTAAACCCTCAGTGTTGCTATCTGTAGCGTCTTCTTCTTAAAATATTTAGTTTAAATGTATTTAATGTTTAAATCCGTCAATTGTGAGTAGGAGGAAGATTCCCAATGACTGGATTGAATTCTCAACGCAATCACAAGACGACGGCACGGGTCGCTGGCGAGAGGCAACCTGTCTGCAAACAGTCATGGTCTCACGCTGAGTCTGACTCAGTCTGTGTAGTTCATCGCCCATTGCACATGTTTGCTAAAAACAATTCTGGTTGTGCTGTGGTCTCTAACCAGTTTCCCCTTATGTGACTGTAGAGTCAAAGAACTTCTAAATGCTTAAGAACTGTCACACTTTAGACATCAGCTTTCAGGAGGGACCTGCAAGACAACCCATAATGAATGGGGCTGCTGAAGCCTAAGACTGGACAAAAAAGAATACATTGACTTATCGTGTTGAAATGAGTGCTACGTCATATTTTTAAGTCAATCAGCCATCAGCATGCGCAAGCAGAATGCTAGCTTTAAATGGCCAAATTGTGTTGCCTGTAAGAAAAGTTAACGCAAATGTCATTTTGTTTCAAGAAAAGCTAACATTTGGCTAACAAACCGACTAATGACTTGTCATTGTTAAACTGTTAGCCTGGTTTTTCCTCCTGTCTGCAGTCTTAACAGGCGCCATCTTTATTAGTTGAAGATGTTTTATTCAGTATGAATCAAAACTGCAGTGAACCCATAAATCCATCAGCAAGGCCTTTCCCTTATACTGCGGTTTTGCGCACACATACCTGCAAACAACGTGACATAGATTTGTTGCACTCTTAGCTTGCTAGCTATTAGCATAAACATCACACAGTTTAATTGTAGTTTAATCTGCATATTTGTGTTTGGAGTGGGCGTTATAATCTACTATGCAACCACTTACAAGTGGAAATTCCAGCATCACTTCTGGGAAACAGACATACCATCAATTTTTATACTTAGCCAGTATAATGTACATTTAATTAAATACTTTTTATTAAAGAAGACAAAGGAAGAGGAAATACTTTCTGGTAGAACCAGTGTAACCATATATATTGTTTTAGATTAAAAGAACAGCATATTCTTTTCCAGTTCCCCAAAACACCGCACACTGTTCCAGTTCACTGTTAAAAAAATAATTTATTGCAGCATGGAATTTTAATTTGAAATATTGACAGTTTTCATTATCAATAATCCATGTTTGCATCCACTTCAATCCAACAAGAGCACAACAGGAACATCTGAAAACATCACACGGGTCAGGTTTTCTCACAGCTAAGACAGTCTGATGCGTGTCTTCCTGATACACACACACTGACTCTCTCCACCACAGTTAAGTGACACAAAAACTCTTTTTAACACTAAACATGAACAAATACTTGTCAAGTTAAATACAGAACAGGGTGTTAGGGATGATAGTTCCAGAAATACTAAACATACAAAACTGAAGTTGCATCCAGTGACTCTGATTTCCTGCAAGGTCAGTCCATACCAATACTACAAGAGTGGGTGTAATGTTTTTAAATGACCTAATGCTGTCAGCTCAGAGACTACCCATAAGCATTTGCTTATTAAAGGAAAATTCCACCAAGACCAAAAAAAAAAAAACTAACTAAAGAAAATCTGTTAACAGAATGGGGATATATTATGATTGCTTCATGTTTGTTGAATTAAGCAGCGTGGTGTCATTTTCAGATACTTCCAGCAGCTACAGCTAAGTTTTATACTGGCTGTGTTGGACAAATATAGACAGTCTGTATATTTCGTAAGTGTTGTTGCCACAGTAAAGAAATGACTGTTTCCTGGCCTCTGCCAGTATATATGTACTGGCACACATATCTCTATATCTATATATATATATATATATATATATATATAGTACAGTATATATATATTAGGGGTGCAACGATACACAAAATTCACGGTTCAATACTTTGGTGTCACGGTTCGATATTTTTTTGATACAAAAAAAATGTTCATGCCTTTTTAATTTGTCATTTATTAAAATTATAAATATATATTTTAACTCAAACGTACAGTTTTGAAATTTAATGTTGCTGAAACAAAGTAATTAAAAAAATAAATATATCTGATTGAGAAATCCCTCATCTTTGGAAAAGAGAATTTATTACAGAGAAATGGCTCTTTCCGAAATAAAAGCTATACTATACGCTTCTTCTGGGCTATATTCTCAGCAAAATATTAAACATATCAGGTCCCCATAAGGAGAATCATGTGCTAACGGCTGTCTAAATGACTCGGGTAAAGTTTTTAGCATGCGTGCTTGTTGTTTTTATCTGCTTCCACTTGTCTTTGCACTAGGATGATGTCGGAGTAAATGTGCAGTCATATTCGTTGTGTTTCCACTAGTGCTGTCAGCGTTAATCTCGTTGAAATGACGTTAACGCCACAACACAGCAAATCTTATTTCAATCTTATATATCTTAGTCCTGGTCTTAGCGTTAGTTATTTCCTGATTTATTCTGACATCTCTCGTCTTGTGTGCATTAGCTGTATTGATATTTTACAGTCATAAGAAGTTTTTAATTATGCTTCTTCCAGCTACTCCCTCATTCACAGCAGGTCGCTACAGCAGATGGATCTGTGTGTTGGACTTCAGGATTTGTGTCTTCTCCTGGTCTTGACCTGTGATCTTTCATGTGTTAGGTAAATGTGTTTCACTACTATACAAAACTGTTGCACTTTTTGCATTTGAAGAGGATTCTTGGGGTAAAACTATTCTTAATTTGGTCATGGCTCCAAACTGGTGATTCTATAGCCCACTGTGAAAGAGGTTCAAAGTTGGCTGTTGTAATGGTTTTGAAATCAAAGACAGCCATCTCACCGCTGCTGTTATATCCTTTATCACCTACTATTGTTAGGAGTGCAACATGAAATGATGTGCTGAACTTTGAAAATGATAGTTGCAATGGTAGTTGCTTTTAAACCACAAAGAAAAATAGTTGTGACCACTTAGCTTTCTAATCACGCGCCTGCAGACTAAGCGGCTAAGTCTGATCGTTTTCCCGTTTTTCATTAAAAAACTGTTGGAAATGTTGGAAATATGGACACACAGTAGTCGGGCTTGCTTCAGTGCACTCCCAGTGGACTCCTATTGGCAACTATTAAACAATATGTTAGAAATAATCACTTCTTTGTGGGCAATAAAGTCAGATTGCTGATTACCGGCTGAACATGTGCACAAATGGATCAAATCCTGCAAGCCACACGTCCAATACCAAACACACCCTCCAAACTTGAAAGCCATGATTTAAGCTTCACATTTTCCAATCTCTTCTACTAACATTTCAATGTATCCCTGCCTGCTGTTTAATCCCATTACTCATACTAAAGCAGTAGGAGCCTAGTGGCAGTCTTTGTTCCTGCCAACAGAGGCCGCGGTTGGATATCTCATTGTATTTCATACCAAAGACAGTAACATCCTAGCCCTTATTTCATTGAGTGTACATCTCTTTGCACTATATGTTGAATATATTTCACAGAGCTTAGACACTCAGTTAAAAAGGTGGAGGGTAAGACTTTACTATGAGACTGGAGCTGCTGGAAAATGTTGATTAAATGTCATTAAATGTCAGATTAAATATGTAAAACCACATTAAGCGTAGAATTTTCCTTTAATTTAGCATCTAGTGTGTGCCTGATCAGCCTTTTAACATTAGGCTCAGTTCTTTTCTCTAACAGATCCTATATTACAGTATCATTTGTGTGTGGATGTACCAAGTCTTGTGTGACGGTGCTGTTTCCCTCAGATGGAAACAGGGCAGATGAGGACACGATCCTCCAGCAGAACACTCAGGACGAGGAACACAAAGTACAGTACGAACATGGTGAGGCCCAACTTTCGGCTCATCTTCCACCGACAGGCGGCGATGGAGATAATGACAAAGAGGAGCATCAGGAAGAGCAGCACAATGGCGCAGAACAGGCCATTGGAGCTGACCATAACTGGCTCACCGTTGTGGAGCAGGGTGTATATCAACCAAGGGATCGGCAGACTGAAACCAAACAGAACAGAAGCAGAAATCAAGCTATTTACCATCACACCTTCGTAGCCCGTCTGCTACATCTTCCTTTTTTGTTTTTGTAAGAAAATATATTTTGGCCTATTTTAGCATAGCCTCTTGTAACTTTTTGATAGTGATTACAATATTGGCTTATTTGTTTACAACAATGATGCAATTGTTGACTGAAGTACAGGTACAATGGTGGATAAATTAATGCTTTATTCTAGACACAATGGATTCTGGGGGCTTTCTCCATATTATTGTAGGGTCAGTACCTTACAATATAAAGCGCCTTAGGTGATTGTTGTGGTTTGGCGCTATGTAAATAAAACTGAATGGAATTAAGAGTGACTCACCCTACAGTGATGTCAAAGATGTTACTCCCCACTGAGCTGGACACTGCCATGTCACCCAAACCCTTCCGGGCCACAATCACACTGGTGATCAGGTCAGGGATAGATGTCCCAGCTGCTAAGATGGTCAGTCCCATGATCTCCTCTGAGATGCCCACAGTTTCACCCACCTGCAAACAGTAAAAGATAAAAACAAGTGTCAGAACGAGTATCCCCAACCTGGCTGTAGTTGGTTGGTAAAACTGCCCAAGTGCCACAAAGTGAGACCAAAATTTTAAACCGTGTGCCCAAATCGGTGACTAATTAACTAGTTAACATTACTCTACATTATTCATTTTTTTCTTCATTTTTCCCCCAACAAAGACTAAATAAAACTCAAATTACAGAAAAACCTAAATAGTCTCTCTCCAAGGATGTCTGTGAAGGTTCTCAGTCATCCAGGTCATCGTAGTCTAAGGAGCTTGGAAAGAAAAGCATCTGGACTTCTTTAAGTTTCCTTAAAGACATGTGGACATAAATGGCTTCTTTCCCTCCTCTTTCAAACCATCTGTCTTCTCTGTCCAAAATGTGAACATTGGCATCCACGAAAGAGTGACCTTTGCCATTTAGATGGAGATGAACCGCTGAGTCTTGTCCCGTGGAAGTGGCTCTTCTATGTTGTGCCATGCGTGTAGGAAGTGATTGTTTGGTGTCTCCAATGTAGAGGTCTGAGCATTCCTCGCTATACTGTACAGCATACACTACGTTGTTAAGTTTGTGTTTGGGAGTTTGTCTTTGGGATGAACCAGTTTTCGTCTCAGTGTGTGGCTGGGTCTGAAGTACACTGGGAGAGGAGTCTCTCTGTCTTTCTGTGCACCCCTGGACCTCTTGTAGTAATGCTGCTTTAAAAAAACAAAAACAAAAACACTCACTGGAAGTCTCATTTTGTCCAATTTTATTCTGAGGCTGCCATTTCAAGAGGCCAGAACCCAGAGAACAAACAGCATTATGGAAAAGCCCATAATCTCCCAATTTAAACCAATTTTTAAAAATCATGGGGTTGTGCACTGTGCATTCATGCCTGAGGATCAGGCTGTAAATTCCACTATAATGTCCAGAAGAGCGAGAACTTTCATAGCCCAGACCTCAACTGCGGTGCAAGCACAATGAGATGACCTTTAAGGAGAAATTGGGCAAAATTATGTTTTTTTCTTGCACAAGGTAAAACGAGACAAATAAAAGACAAAACTTTCTATAAAACTAGGACAGTCTCACTGTCTCTATGTTATGCTCTCACTATCTTTATGTTAAACTAACCGCACTAACTGCAGAAGCATTACCTGAAAGTATCATTGACATCACTCAGGGCCGACTACTCTGAGACATGTAGGAAAGTAGTCTGCCAGGGTCCTTATCAGTGTGAATAAAAGACCAACATAACATGTGTTAAGACTCCACCAACCTGATGAGCCCACCACACCATCAGGTAGGAGAAAGCACCAATCCAGATGATGGAGCCTATGAAGGTGATGGCAAAGTATCTCCTGGATGCCTGAAAAGCACCAGAGCCATTCACATTACATGTTCAAAAACATTATGACACCTGGGAACAGAGACTTAGATCCTGAAACTACAAAAAATAAAAAATTAATCCAATGTAATCCATTGTAAATGATAGCATCTGATCCATACAATTCACTCACTGCAGTCGGTTCTGTCTGTCTGTTAGCATTCACAGTTTTCTAGATATTTTCAAGTTTTGTGTGTCGGTAGATACCAAAAACAGCTCAAGATGAATTAATTTTGGTGAAAATCAGATCAAAGTAACACCAAATGTGAAAATCAGTAAAAACTTTATATTACAGTGGGGCAAAAAAGTATTTAGTCAGCCACCGATTGTGCAAGTTCCCCCACCTAAAATGATGACAGAGGTCAGTAATTTGCACCAG